ATGGAGTCGTTGTCATGAGGAGTTAACCAGGTTTCAGTGAGGCAGAGAATATCGGCAGCTTGTGTAGAATGTAGATATGTTTGCAGCTCGGGACCCTTATTGCGAATGCTACGGGAATTGGCAAGGAGACATGATAAATTGTGTTGTGGCACTGGATCAGAACGTGGGCCAGGGTTGGGGTTGACATCACCACATACGAGTAGGGGAATTGAAAATGTTGCTGATGAGTTCTTGCAATACAGGATACGAGCCTTGCAGTAGCCCTTATGATCAAAGGGCAGTTTGAGTGATACAGAGAAAGGGGAAATGACATATCTGACATCATGCTGGGGTGGAAGAAGTGGTTTCAGAACGATCAGTGCTAGCCATGTCAAAAAGATCCAACGCACGACACCCATTGTTGTCAATTGTCCCGAGGAATGCCAGTGACGCAATCTTATTGTTCCTTACCGACTTGGGTCCACGCGATAGATGTCCAAAGCAGCACAAGACGATCTCAAAACGCTGTCAGATTTTTCACAATCATCAGAAGGAAATACCGGTCTGATCTTGGTCCTCTGGTATCACTGATGCTTTATTATATTAATAGCAAAGGATCACTCACATACGGCATACAGAAACAAGGAAATTCGGGTTAACTCAGAGACACAGATGTAAGAGAATGATGACCATAACACAGCGCCCTTATAGCGAGCTACATTAGTAACAAAAATGCTAAGGATCGTTACATGGTATTTAAAAGCACCATTTTTTTCACCAAAGCTTTGCCAGTGTGTAACGATCAAAAATAGGGTAGGATGCAAAAAATCAGATGACAGGAAGGGTACTTTATGACGTAATAATGACGTCACAATATACTACCGAGCTCGTACAGTAATTAATTGTAGAAAATAAGGTCGTGAAGCGTTGTGTTGAGATTCCAAGTAATTAATTTGACATTTTGAGGGTCAGGGAATTGAAGAGTGATATAATCAGTGACATTTAAGTAACAATAAGCTGATTTGCTGTTGCAGTGACGTCACTATTTTAAAATTTTCTTGAAAAATCTAAGCATTTTTGATTATGGACAAAAGTGCTACAATGACGGTATTTGTCACGCAGAAAATAAATTGTGTGAAATTGTGTGGCTCCTTGAATTTGGTCTTTACCACATCCATTTGTTTTGACCATTTACCGGTACTATAGCTGGAAGATGTAACATTCTTATATGTGTTGTATATTACGGGTAATGAGGTATGGGTTAGGAGCCAGACAGAAAGGAACGTGGTAACCTGAAATAGATTAACAGAGTGGCCGGAAATGGTGATGGTACGTCTTTTAACAATGTATTACAAACGGGGGCCGCCCGATAGTCCGAAGGTCCAATAGTCCGAAGGTTCTTTAGTCCGAAGGTTCGATAGTTCAAATGCACAAAATTTCCATAAGGGGGGTTCGTTAGTCCGAAAATGAAATAAGGTTCGTTCATCCGAACATTTGATGCAATAGTCCGAAGCTTCATTAATCCGAAGGTTCATCAGTCTGAAGGTTTATTTATCCAAAGGTTCGATAGTCCGAATTTAGAATAAGGTTAATCAGTCCGAAGGTTCAATAGTCCGAAACGAAAATAACAAGCCCGCGGGAACGGGGGGTGCTGTGGGTGCTGCAGCACCCCCAACTTTTTGGATTGGGGTGCTGAAATATGCTTCAGCACCCCCTACTCCCGGGCAAAAATGTGTTCCAGCCAGCAGTGTTCTACGACGTTGAAATTGCGCCGCTGCGCTATACATTATGCTTGCTCTAAAAATATCTCCTTAGTTTTGTTCGTTTCTAGTTTTGGCGCGGCGCTTCGAACGTCTAGCACAAAGTAACACTGTAAAATATCAAGAGGGGGTATTTTCTAAATTTTCAGGCAGTGCATAATCGATATTTCTCTCAATGTATCTAAAATCACGACATGTCTATGACACCTCGGCCATGACAATGGTGGCAAAGTTGATTATGCTTGCCACGATTTTTTTTCATTCGATCTTTCAATAGAGGCAAAGTTCATACCTTTCCCCGAAGGTTTTTCTTTTCATTTAAAAGTTTCATTGACGTTGCTAGCATTCTGTACTCAACATTAACAAATATCAAGGTTCACACACATCCCAACCTAATAGGAGTGGGACGGGCTTCCATTGAAACTAGTTCCAGTGTAGTTTCGTTTTAATAAAAAGCCTATTCATGTGTTACCCTTTGCAAGTTTTTTCTCATAAAAACTCAGTAGACCGATAAATCCTTGCCTAGCCCCAAACTTGCCACATACCGATCATAAACATAAAGATGCATTTGGTCTGTTAGTCTTTTATATTTGCCATTCCCTGTAACAAACAAATAACACTGCAAATATATCAAGAGCTACATCGTTTAGGCCTGTGTGAATATTTTTATTAGCAGAAATTCACCCGCTTCCAGTGGAACCATTTTGTTTTAACTTGAACCAAAAAACACCCTTTCGGGTTTTATAAGTTTAAGTATATACTTCAGTATATTTCATCACAGTGCATCCAGAATCCAACATTTTCAGGGGCCTTAAGCAGGCCCCTGGCCCTGTGGCCCCACGCCGTAAGGGCTCGGAAAATAAAACAAAACATACACGACGGAATTTACTAAATGTAAGAAAGCAGCCTAGCAACAATAATATTTACATGCGATGTCATGCATAATGATACAATTCTTTGTCCAGAATTAAATGGAGCAAAGAATGGAGATAAAAATACAGGGTTTTCGACTTTTCAGTACAGTAGAAAGGTTATAAGAGCAACAGTATTTTCTAAACAAAAAAGTGAAATAAATTGTCTTGATAATCTCAAAAAACGTTTGCTAAAAAAGTCATATGAAAGTGGCTAGGAATCGCCTCATATTGCACCACAGAGCATCCATATTCCAAAACTTTTAGGGGCCCTTTAAGCCACGCCGTAAGGGCTTTGCGCTCCGTGTTCGCATTAATTTTGTCCGTCCTTTAGAAATTCCAGCACCCCCTGGCAAAAGTTTGTGTCAGTGGGCTTGAAAATAAGGTTCAATAGTCCAAAGGTTCGATAGTCTGAATTGACAATAAGGTTCGATAGTCCGAAAAGAATCTACGATGGTTCGATGGTCCGAATCGACAGTAAGGTCCGATAGTCCGAATCGACAATAAGGTCCGATAGTCCAAATCAACAGTAAGGTCCGATAGTCCGAAGAGCCATACTGACGAACCGTATTGCCCATTCGGACAATCGAACCTTATTCTCAATTCAGACTATCAAACCTTTTTCTCTATTCGGACTATCGAACCCTATCGTCTATTCGGACTATCGAGCCTACGGATTATCGAACCTTCGGACTATTGAACCTTCGGACTAACGAACCTTTGGACTAATGACCCTTCGGACTAGAGAACCTTCGTACTATCGGGCTGTAACCATTACAAACACAATACCAGTGCAGCAAGTCATGTCCTGCAGTTTGTAAAGGTTTTTAGTTTGGGACGTGAATAAGACAAACAATTATCCATGATGCACAAGCACAAGTGTGTTTCTCGATTAAATGCACCACCCTTGTCGTTGATGGACCGTCTATCCTATTGAAGTATCCATCAGACATCATCTTCTGTGTGACACGAGCAGAGCATCTCTGAAGGTCCACTGTGTGAGTAGTTTATCCTTTCTTGTTTCCACAAAGCTGGATTGCGACTGAGATCGTGCAAATAAATAATCTTTAAAAAAGCTTCATCTGTAGTCTTGTTTATTAATTATTAGAGATTTTTGGTAAAAATGAACAGAAGTCTTTGTAGAAATTGTAGATATAATTCATCTTGTGTAAAATATACCTTTGCAAGTTTACAAACTTCCACAAAACGTATTATTTTGCAACATTGGAACGTATAATTGGTTTGAACAGTCTACCTTTTTATTGCTTATGTGAACTGTTACTGTCGTATTTCAGGACAGTCATCATGGATTGGACTGCTTGCATTATCTGCATGCAAACTACACCAGAAAAACTACGTTGTCCACAAAAAGGTTTAAATTGTAACGCCGGAGAAGTATATGCTCAATTCCTGGCTAATGTTGAAGGGTTTAGGGCAATAAATGCATTTTTGCATTTTATTTAATAAATGCATAAATGCATTTTTCTCTCTGACTTAAAAACAACATCTCACAATACCACATACTGTTTGCATGTTAAAACAAGGTGTCAAAGTGCCGAAAAAACAGGTCTTTTGACCAAAAAGGTTTTTTGACCCACAAAATCACCCTCAACTATATTCCATCCCAATGACATACCACTCAAATGAAAGATGTTGTTGTCCCCTTTAATTTGATACCAAATTTGTTGTTCAGATGCTTGCAGTTCTGAAGATTATTATTAATTTATATTTTTTCATGTAATAATTAGCTGATGATGTCATAATGACGTCATACATGCCCTTTTCATCATCCAATTTTTTGCGTCCGTCTTTTTTACCATGGAGATGCTTTGGTGAAAAAATTGTGCTTTTGTCCACTGTGTAACGATCCTTAGCATTTTTGTTACTAATGTACATTTGTACCTCACTATAGCTGGCTCTGGGGAGGAGGGAATCTCATTTGGTTGTTGGCATTGTTTAACCCTTACCCACTGTCATTCATGCAGAATCACGCTGCGTGGCGCTACATAGTCTTGCGTAGAGCTGAAGTCGCCAAACAAGAAAACCACTGCTAAAATGTACTTTTAGAACAATTGGGTGTGAGGAATGTGATTACAATTGTTTGGTGTGTTGGCGAGTGAATTGACCCCGAGGCGTGTGACATACACCTCACCTGCATACATGTATGTGGTCATATTGAGAAGACCAAAATGCACAGCAACTTTGTGTTAACGTTGCGTGGCATTTGCACTTGCCAGTGGTTAAACACGTTAATTGTGGCGAGGTAAAATAGTGAGGGTTAACAATGCCCACTGTTTAATTCGATCACATGATTTTATGCAGGAGGTTTTCTTTTATCTTTCCATTTCAGGTGATTTTGCAATCTTACTGAAATCAGGCATGACTGTGAAGCAGGCGTTGACGTTCAACCTGTTATCAGCGCTGACGTGCTATGGAGGCCTCGTAGTGGGTATCCTAGTGGGACAGTTAACGTCGCTAGAGCCTTACATATTTGCACTGGCAGGCGGAATGTTCTTGTACATATCTTTAGTTGATATGGTAAGATTTTCCTCAAGTTGTGTTTGCGCTCTCATCCAAAGTGCTTGTTCAAAACAATTTTTTTTTTATAGAAGTTGAGAGGTTTTCAAGATGTCAATTAAAAAAATAAAATTGATTCATAAATACCTGAGACAGTTAACCAATTCATAGTGTTCGAGAGCCTGTCATGTGAGTAAAGCACCGCTGTGTTCTGCGCCACATTGCACAGTATGCACCATGTGCTTCAATTTCCATATAAGGAGATTTTCAGCACTACGCGTGCGAGGCACATACCACAGACATGGCCTGAGGGGTGTTTTACTAAGTAAAATTGTTGAATGAAATCGTTGGAGATTTGTGAATTGTTGACTGTCTGACCGAAAGGTATTTATGAGTGGGAATAATTATGTGCCTACAGGTAGCTGGTATTAAACAAACTACATTTAAAACTGACTAGTAGCCTGGACAGGGATAATGACTCTCGTTTTCAGCTCGGGCCATTATCAGTGTTCAGACGCCTAGTCGGTTTTAAATGTCTGTGATGTAATTTTGTTTTTACTTGAGTAGTTTTATTCTTTGTCAAATGTCAGATTTTTTTACATGAATTGGAAAGCTTCTGTAAGGAATACAGGGTGAGTAAAAAAAAAGCGGAACACAAACCCCCAAAATATGGTTGATATTAAAAAAATTTGTACACTGTAGCACCAATAATGATAATGACCTGAAAGCCAATTCTAGAAACGACTTTTAGATGAAAAAATTACTGAAATTGCTCAATCCGTTCAAACAATATCACCAGTTAAACACAATAAACTTAAAACCTGTTTCGCCACAAAAAAAAAAAAATTATTGTGTGTTCTGACTGTTTGGAACAACAACAAAAATGGCACAGAGTACTTGTTTCAACAACTGTCACCAACTGTAGTACACAATATCTCTATTAACAACCCTGCTTGGGCAAACAATATGATTTATAAAATCCACCTTGTTTTTTACAAAAGACAGGCCTTCAGAAGGACTTTGTGGAAATTGTTGACTTTTAAACTGAGGTTTCATCGCTGATGACGTTTGAAGACAATTGTGACAACAATTCTTGAAATCACATTTTTGGACGAAAGAGGTTTTAGGTTCATTGTGTTTAAATGGTGATATACTTTGAACGAATTGAGCAATATAAGTAAGTTTTTTCATGTAAAGTAGCTTATGAAATTGGCTTTCCAGTCACAATTATTTTTGATGCTACATATTTGTTTAAATATAAAATACGTTTTTTGAGGTTTGGGTTCTGCTTTTTTTTACTCGCCCTGTATTAGCCCTAATATCAATCTTTAAAATCTGTCAAATGAAAGCTGGTCAGTTACCTGGCATGAATAATTAACATGCCTCAATACATACATTAACAGGGGTGTGAAATTTCAGCTTTAAAGCTGATTTCAGCTTTTTTTGTTTTGGATTTTAGCTTTTTCCCTCACTTGCTGTGTACAAAAGTATAGGAGATTTCCAAAGTTCAGTTTTTGTACACCTTTTTCAGCTGTTTTCAGCTGTTTTTATCAGTGGTCACTCACACCCCTGATTATATTAATAATTTCTTTTACATCAATGTCAGTGTTTGAATATTCGTAGACCTCTAATTCCACATATTCTGTTTGCTGCCACCAGTTGCCGGAACTCACCTCAGTCAACCAGCACGAGGACTTCAATTTACGTAGCTCTTTAAAGATTTTTGCGATTCAAAACGCAGGCTTGCTGACCGGCTACGTCATCATGATTCTCCTTACAGTATACGGAGAGCACATAGCTGTTTAATTATAGGTATGTTGGCTTCGTGAAAAGGAGACATGTGTTTAGGTTTATATTTCTGAAATCCATAATGACCATCGTGTGTACCCAATATATATTTTTATGAGCATGGTGCATCCAATTTGTCATTTGAATTCAGCAGAGGTACCTTTGTGTAAAAAAAGCATTTTTAATAATAAAAATAATAATCGTAATGCTTATATAGCACTGCCCATCATATCAACAATCTCAAAGCCTTTTACAATTATTACCCTGTTCATCAGGCCATGGGACCACGCGGTAGCCGATATCAGCGCTCAATCGGTCCTCAACCCTCACAGGTACCCATTCATACTCCTAGGTGGAGAGAGGCAGTTATAGTTAAGTGTCTTGCCTAAGGGCACAAACACCACTTTCACGGAAGGGTTCGAACCCACGCATCATCGTGCATGAGTCAAACACCGTAACCACTAGCCCATGGCATTCTACATGATTCAGTGGTTATGGAATCAATTAAAAAAATGTCACAGTTGCTCGAGTCAGTAATTAAGCGTGTTTCAGACGTCAAGACAAAAGTGCTACATGTACCACCTCCAATGAACTAAAACCGCCAATTCTGTTCATATTGCAATTGGAGTAAGTTGCTTTCAGTATTATGATAATAGATTTAATTATACGAAATCAAACAACTCTAACCTCCACAGAATTTATTTGATACAAAGTAACGAAACACCAAAAGCTACAAAATACAAGAAGTAATGTTACACCATTAAGACTAGGGGTCGCACATATGCAAATTACTTTTAGAAGTATTTTGTAGCTCTTTGGGAGGTTAAAGGTTGAACATGAAATATGCAAACAGAGAATCCACCAAGAATTGTGTAATGATGAAAAGAATAATAATAAAAGCAAAGATACAAACTGTAAGTACAGGTGTTTAGGTTTTGAAAAGGCAGGGGATTTCTTGCCGAAACAAAATATTGTTTTCATATCTCTCCAAAGTCATCATGTGTATATGGCTAGGCAACACACCCAACGTCACGAAGCCAGTATTTTTTTTTGCATATTGTCAAATTCTGTAACTACGTAGCAGGTGATAATTAATAAGATATACAATGTAAAACACCCAAATTGTCTTTCATTATTTAATGAACTACGGAGCATAAAGGGAAAAATGACAGAATGCATTCATTCCAGATTGTAGTCTGGTAGTCAAAGCCAGGATAAGTCAATCACATTGTCTAGTCACAAGATGAACAGTGAGTAAGGAATGTTTATTTGAGTAGCTTGTTACCCGGCTATGACTCGGTGTATTGTCTTCTAGGCCAGTATTTGATACTTAAATTTGGAGGATTTTAATTTTTGGATATTGTTTGATCTACCTTCAAATCCTCTCCTGCCAACGCTTGAAGGGTAAGGCAAATGAAAAAGAGCCCGATCTCTTAGCATTATTTTAAGCCTTTTTTTTTAGTAATTTGTATTTTATATATACCTTTGGTGCCGATGAACTGTTTTACTTATTTTTCCTCTTAGAAATTTCTGTTTTTTGTGTGTAATATTCAGACATCTTAATAGCAATTAGGCCTGTGTGGATTTTCTGATACCAATTTCCGAACGTTCTTGTAAAATAGTTTTAAAAATAGTTATTTTGTTTCCTTACAACTGAAAATTGTTTTTCTTGATATGTTCAGCTTCACAATTTAAAACTGCTGATATTCGTTTTTAGAAAATTGTGACCACGGTTTCTATACCGTAACAACCAACAGCCTCTGTAATCAACACAAAAGCAGGCAGTAATAGATTCAATGAATCTACAGTTAAATAGTCACATGTAAATAAATGCAATACAATATAATTCAGGGAAAAACAACACGCACTGGACGAAATATCAAGTGATCATAATTTTTTAACTGCATTTTTTTGTAAAAGTAGATTTCACCAACAATATATTTTTGTACCTTCTTCGCTACTGTGAATGTAATATACATGTATACATCCTATGAACCATCAGGATGAAAACAGGCCAGTTTCTTAATCGCTAAGAGAAGGGGTTTGCCCCGGTGTTTATGACCTCCTAGTTATACTCCCTTGTGGAAGTCCTTAGGAGAAGAGCCAACCAAGTACATGTATATGTAGCATGTCACGGATCCTACACACAAGGATTAACGTCTCATCAGCCAAAACTCCTGGTTAGACGTGCGTTAACGGCCCATACAGGTGGCAATTTACCATGAATGTCAATAAAGATCCAGACAGCTTTACCGCTTCACTGCGCGCTGCGGCTTTCAAATTTGCAGGGCTCTGCACTCGATCTGCCGTCGAAGTCTGTTAAGCCAGCTAATTATATTTTTGATCCTACGTTCTTGGCCTTTACTATTGAATTCTGATAAACGATAACTACATAACCATGTTGACGCTGAGCACAGTATCTTTAGCTTTAAAGTTAACTGTGAAATGTCGCATTTGTTTTATCGGCTCGGGACCACATCTCTCTAATACTTTTCAATGCAAGCCTAATTAAAAACGAGATTTAGGTAAACGGTGTTCCCCTCGAAAAAGATGTCACATTTGACGTTTACATCCTGTGTAAATACTTCATCTATGACGACAAAAAACTGCACAATACCTCCGATTATATCCTAACATTTTTGGAACAAGTGTATCTTACATAAGAAGTGGTTTTGCTTACAATTTTATGAATATGTTCGTTTTAGATGTCATGCAAAAAAAACCCCGACAAAATGGCACACCTGGAAAATTCGCGATTAACATGTAAACGGGTATTGAGGTCCGTTATCACGCGTCCAACCAATTAAGGCAAGTCCGCTCAGTGCATTTTGTACTAGAGCTCAGACCAGTCGTTCATCTTTGTGTGTGTAGGATCCATGATAGGTGTATTCACATTGGATACAGACCGTTCTTTTTCTACCTCTCAGCCGTAGATTTTGCCAGTAATGGTGGACAACGGTTGAGCTGTCAGAGAAAGCATAAGAGATACTAAAAATCTGCTGAAATGACCTGATGTTATTACATGTATACTTAAAAGTTATGTATATCTCGATACAGCATTTAAAGTTTAATATTAATTGTAGGTGTGCATTGTCTATACATGTACACATGTACATGTAGTTTTAACATAAGGTTTTAGCTTTGCATGATCGATACCGGATCGATACCGGCTGCGTGGCTTTAAGAAACTCAAGCTTAAAAAAAAGTATGGCCTACAATGGCAGGCCGTCTTTCTGCTGCCGAACATTTTCGAAATGTACCGAAGAAAAAAATAATGTGTTTTATGAAATTGCACGCATACAGAATATTGTGAAAGTTCTGAAATGTGCACAAGCGCAAGTGGACCATCGACGATAATCCTATAAACGAGGGTTTTCTTGCATGTAGTATAACGGCTGTTTCATGTTTGCACAAAGGCTGTCGCTGCCGGGCATTGTGCCCATCCCTTTATTGAACGACCTTCGATCGGCTTGCCCAAACTTTCCCTGAATAGGGCTGCTTCCCAGCTTCCCTGAATAGGGTTAAACTGCTTTGAAAGAAGCCTTAATAGTAAGAGAGCGCGTAAGATATCTTTGGATGAGATTCGAAGATTTGCATGGTAAACAATGTAATGATAAGTTGTTTGCGGTAGCAGCATGTGGTAAATCTCTTTTGTGAGTGTTTTGAGGTTCTGAAAAGAATGGGAGGAACTCAACGTTTCGACAGTATGCTCGGCCGGTCGTCAGGAGACTGACTGCGTAAACACAATCTGCTGACTACCTCAATATTTAACCATTTCATGGAATTGCGTTACATGAACTTACAATGAATACTCATCTATCTGAAACAACCAACCTCCATTTGGGGTTCAGTAAACTGTTTGACATAAGTTATATAAAATATTTAATTTAATATATGCAGTTTTATGCAGATTAATACATACATTGCAAGAAATCGTTCTTTTGAAAGATTGAATTTGTTTCCATGGCAATATTACATGTTTAAAAGTAAAGCATATAGCCTAGTTGCCATATAAAAACATCAACATGCATACGAAGATGTAATATTACTGCTTCCCACTTGGATTCAAGACGTTCGGGATTCAACTAAATGCATTGCCTTTTAGTTTTCAAACAATTAAAAACTTCCTTTGAAGTACCAGAAAAATCAAAATATTTATATGACATTTAAATAAAACCTTGTTAACAATTCAGAATACAATATAAAACTGTTTGATAGAATCATAACATTTCCAGGAATAAGCTGAGATAATTGCGGTGATAGACAGATAGAACCAGTGTTTGTTTGGGGAAAACACGCAAAACAAGTACAAGAAAGCGGAGCTTCTGAACCCAAAGAGAAAAGGGGGGCCCGAAAGGTGGCTGATGGTGGGTTAAATTCATCGGCAAGCCTTGCCTTTTTTCCGGACTGTGGTGGAATTGGGAATGACGCGACGCCAAGTTACTGCGTGCTATGTGTGCTGTGAGGCTGGGCGTCAATCGGTGGGGGACGGGGGGGGGGGGGGGGATTTCCCCCTACTTGTTAAAGGGGGGGGGGGTGTTATCATATCGTTTGGTCCCCCACTTTTTTGTCCACGAATAAAAATGGTAGCCTATATTTCATTCAATAACTCAGAATAGCTGATTCAATGACTCCAAACTCGGAAATTTGTTTTTTAAATGAAGATCTTTTGGTCAAAAATGTGGGTTAAAGTGGTAAGAAATTGCTTCAGATCAGATCGCACCACAGAGTGGCTAGAATCCATTTTTTTCGGGCCCTTGATTCGGGCCCCGAACCCCAAGACGTTAGGGCTTCGCGCTTCGTGCACGCATTGGTTCTGATCAACGTATGCCCCCCTTTTTGAGAAGCGGTTGACGCCCTAGGTGTGACGTTATCGTGAACAACCACATCGGGGTTCTCCTTTAAAATTCTCTCGGTGTCCGCGCGTCCATAAACCCGATTAAACTGCGCTTAATAATTTATTAAATGCATTTGTTTTTAAATAGTGAACAATTAAGCTGTGACTTAGGTTGTATAATACATTCAGGGAGTTAACAGATCGAACCTGTTAAAACTGCTGGGTATTTAGGAGAAGAATCAATCAACTAACAATTATTTAGTGTACTTAATTCATTTTTAAAATTTTGTTATATACATGTATAATGGACGATGGGAGTAGTGACTGGTCCCCGTAGCATATTCGAATGGAGAGATTCGGAACCAGCGCGCAGCTTCAATGTGTGTAGCGCGCAATGGCCAGTGAACTATCCATATGATTAAACATGGGACGAGTGGTTGTACACGGGTCGGATGTAGGTTTTATTTTCTACCTGGGTAGAGCCTTTCAACACTGGTCCAGGCCAGGGCTAGATTTTACCCGTGTAGAAGCCGTGTAAAACTTTTGCTAAAAAAAGTCCCGAAATCTCGGTGCTGGACTTTGGTCCAACACTGGGGTGCGTTCGAGCGTGTTACTCTTTCGTGCGCATTACTCTCGGTTCAGGATGCTCCCGGTATGACGGAGAGCATTTTCTTGCTGGCCCGCGGGTTGTACCTGCTGTTCGTGCGCTCAGGAGTTTACTCGCGTTAACACGAATAGCACGCTCGAACGCACCCCGTGATTTTGGATAGCATGAAAGCCTCTTGCGCTTGTGTGGCGTTGCAGAACCCCATCAACTTGTTTTTCATCATACAAGCGAAGTTCATTTCGCAACGCATGAATCGACCTGCATTAATTCTTCCTCACAAATTATTATGATGAAATCCTCAGGAAGTTGTAAATAAAGTAACTCTGATAGGTTAATATTTCATACATAATGATGTTGACTAGATCAGTTGTACACACACCATAGCTTTATGTAGGCCCTATAGGGTGATTCACTACGGTATGGGCACAAAGCAAGAAACGAAACACACTGGTTCATTGATCGAGTACAATACGCACACCTCGCAATGCATTCCGTGTTTTCATACGTGGCATGGGAAGTAGCCTTATTTGCGTAACAATTTAACCTTCATGTATTGAGAAAGCATTGCAAAGACCAAAGTTTCCCGACTTTGAGTAGGAATGGGTATAGTGTACAATGGGGATTAAGTAGCATTGTCAGTATTCGCCCACTGATAATTGTTGGAACACAAAAGGGAATCTCCTTTAAAAAAAACAACAACACCGCATTCCACGGAAATTATGGGCGTTTGCGCAGCCTGTTCACCCCCCACCACCATTTAGTGCAAATGCACTGTCTTGCATCTTACTCAATTTAAAAAAGTTCTTCATGCGTACCATTGAGAACTGTGTGTTCATCAATAAACCCATTTTTATAATCTTTTGAGGTTTTCCCAGGTATTTTCTACACCTTATAATGATGTGATAATCTTTGTGCAATTAGACTTATCATTCATTTACTTCATTTGTGTCGTGTTTTATTCATTTACGTATTATTCTAGCGATTTTGACTTTTCTAGCTATTTTTGCTTTGTTTTAGAAACAGTTCGGCATTTTTGTTTCGAGCAAAGTTTTAAACTACTGTTGGCAATCATGGTGTTGGGATTGTATTTTTTTTTTAACACATAAACCTTTATTCTTAATCATGTTATATTTGAAATAAGCTACGTTTATTAAACTTGTACCGACTTTACACAGATATCTTTTGTGTGTATGCATTTTGTGTTGTGTAGAAGGTGTATGAAATTGGGCCTAGTTGTAAATTATTCGGTTCAACCAGCTTCAATGATTGCTGTCTTCCGAACGATACCATTTCAGCTGCAATACTTTCACATGGTATTTGGTACCAGTCCTAACTTCACTTTGAGAAAGGATTTTCTAGTAAAAATTGGTACTACGCGTAAACAAAACTCCAACTTTTGATCCTAAATAACTCTGTTGTTTAACAATGGAATTAAATCAAACTTTGGCAGCTAATATGGAGCGAGTTTCATGAGCGTTGTGCAAGTGGGGGAGATTTTAACGCCATACGAAACAAATTCTCACTTTCAGAATCTGCCACTTTCGAGTTGGCGTCATCGATCGAAGAGGTGTGCAATGACATCAGGGGTGATCCTGCATTCTTTCAGAAGCTTTCGGCTGCAGCACGCGCCTTCCGCCACTGTCTTCAGCGCCGTATCGACATTCTGAAATGAGTATTTTATATTCGTATGGCGTTTAAGTTTCACTCACTTACACAAAGCTGATGAAATTCGTTCCATAAAATTTGTCATGCTAGTTTACATGATCTGAAATTTTGTTTTAAAACAACATAGTTACTTGGGATAAAAAGTAGGACATTGTTTTATTGCACATAGTAGGTATTTCCGGGTAATAGCAAAATATTCCCATGTGCCTCTTTGATGAACTGGTCAGGTTCATTTCCAGTAATATGAGCGGAGAAATTGACTGAGATGGGATGTGAACTGACGACCTCCGGAAAACGATCCCGATGCTGATAAGGTGTAAAGGAAGTCGATACATCCTTCAGCTTGGTACATGTGATGTGAACGCACCGACGATGTGACCCATTTCATTTGTCGTAGACAATCATTAACTGTCACAGAGTCAAACGAATCATCTGTGATTCTAATATAGTTGCCATATCATCATAATCTGCACGAACGCCAGGGGACGTGGGTGTGCGTCTTATAACACTGTCTATCTGTATTGATAGGCGTGTTCTATTCAAGCTGATAGCTCTGAATGGTAACGCATCGCGTTGGAAATGGAAAAGAAGACTTTTCTTCAGATTATGTGACTTCAGGCCAAAAAAATTGTGTTTCTGGTAACATCGCCAAGAAACTGAATGGTCGGATTTGTTTTTTTATTTTTTATGTGGTATGTACCTGTGCATCAATGCCAGTCTTTGCATACATGTATTTCCACTGAGAAATGTTCTTAAGAAAAACGGAGATTTTCACTGCCTTGCACACCAACATTCTCAACGTTTCAACGGCCGTTGATTTCTTATTTAGATTACATTTATTATTAATCGAGTGACGTCACGTGACCCATGATGACGTCACCATGACGTAATTACAAAATAAAAAACATCTTCAGTGGGTTGTGCATTCATGTATTGACAATTGAAGTTACATTTATGTTTTCATTTTGACAAACACTTCTGGAAACGAATTTGGCGAGAAGAATATTAATATTAAGAAGAATAGTAAATTCTTAAAATAACAATCGGTGTTGGGCTCTCCACCCGACAAACAACCTTTGCCGGCCTAACGTATATGGTCAAAGTTACCGGAAACGCAACCTTTTTTTGGCCTATGAAACATCGTCTCTGCACTGTCGATTGTAAGGGATGACAACCGGTCTTAATCCTTATATTAATAGTACATGTATAGTGTTTTCTGACTGGCATTATGTGGACAGTTCTAGCCTATTCAGTTAAGGAGAATACACGAGAAAGTGAGGATTCGTAATATTTAAGAATTCACGAGGCGCGAAGCGCCGAGTGAATTCGTAAATTAACAATCCACACTTGCGAGTGTATTCTTCGAATTAAACCATTGCGTCAACAGAAGTATTGAAAAGAATGTTGGAACCTGACGCCACTTTTTCCTTCATATTATCTCAATGAAGGTCATTCGTTGCAAAAATGATGATAAGACATGAATCTGGGACTGAGAAATGTTTCCAATTTTGTTAGGAAATACTTGAAATGACTCTCCATATACTTCGTACACAAGCGCAGAAGTGGCGTCAGGTTGCAACATTTTTTCCTGGCGTGTTTAGCATGTGTATGCCACTGTACAACCAAGTCATTTTGTGTGTGTAGGCTCCTTACGTCAAATGGATAGTTCAGACGACGATTTCTTTCTTACTAAGAGTAGATTTTGCAGTGACGGCGGAGAATCTGACAGTGAAGATGCATTGGTAATTTTCGGAAAGCAAATTTTCACGCAGACGGTCCTATTCATGCTCATTATGGAGAACAATAATTGTCTGACGTGTTCAAAGTGTGGATTCGTAATTCCTAATCCACATTTTACTAAAGATTCGTAGTTCCAAATCCACACTTCGTGACCAGTGTAAGAGATTCGTAGATCCGAATCCACACTTTTAACAATAGTGTGACGTCATAGCAATGCCTGAGTGCATCCGACCAGCGAATGCTGTATTGTATAGCCGTTTGCTTGTAAGGCAGGGGTATAATCGATGTGCTTGGCAGTAAAAGTCGAAGCTTGACTTGTGGAGAGGAAACTTTCTAGCTAGCTCTGTCCGTTCAGCTTGATTGGATTGAAATCGCATGTCCCCAGCCAAAAAGGATGATGGTGTGGAATCCATGCGTTTTGCTAGCCGTGACCGCCACATGTGTGGTTTTGACCGGTACCGGCGCCTTCCTTGGAGCGGAGGCCTCCTTAGCGGAGTTGCAGCTACTCCGTATGCCGCGACAGGCCTCGGGTTCCAATGGAACAGACTCCGCGTCGGCTCTCCAGGGACTCTTGAATGACTTCGGTGCCAACGGACGGATGACCAAGGAGCAACTGCAGCAGTTAATGCAGGAAATCAACGCAAAGGTAAGAAGACTCGATGTTTTCAGAGTACTTTTACTCCATCGTCGGGGACCGGACGACTGTTAAAGTGAAATTCGATCAATCCATCCAAAAGTTCGAATTTTCACTGAGTTTTCACAGGATTGACTGATTCGTTTTAGAGTAGGGTGCCTTGCACTCTGAATCGCTGGTCCCTATCTTTATTTTGTGGAAATTGGGGAGTAACATGCTGAAATCATGGTTAGATATTTGTATCGTTCATTGCAGTTCTAGTTTTCATGCTCAAAATTTACTTTATTATGAGAGAGTGAAAATCCACTTGGTCTTACTGACAATGGAAGATGTCGAGCCAGGGAGTTTCAATCGAATATGTGTATACCGAGCTTGCATTAATATATCCCCCACTTTTTGACCAGGGGGATGGGCTATTCAAGCCCGCGGGAACGGGGGGTGCTGTGGGTGCTGCGGCACCCCCAACTTTTTGGATTGGGGTGCTGGAAAATACTTCAGCATCCCTACTCCCGGGCAAAAAATGTGTCCCAGCCAGCAGTGTTCAACGACGATGAAATTGCGCCGCTACGCTATACATCATGCTTGCTCTACAAATATCTCCGTCGTTTTGTTTTTTCTAGTTTTGCCGCGGCTAAGCGCGGCGCTTCAAACGTCGTGCACGAACACAGTAAAATATCAAGAGGAGGTATTTTCTAAATCTTCAGGCAGTGCAGAGGGTTAGGGTTAGGGGTTGGGGTTAGGGTTTGAGTCATTTTTGGAACTACCCAACCACTGAAATAGTACTGGAACAGGAAGACAATGTACTACGCTTTTAAATGCGCCGTTTTGATGTAAGGTTAACCCTAAAAGGGCCGGGTTATTTTGACCATCTCTCAGCCGGGGGGGGGGGGATCTCGGCAATCGAGTGACGAAAAATTTTGAAACTCGGTACATGCAGAGAGCAACTTGAACTCATCATAAACATACCAAAGAAATGTCATGACTATATGTTAAAGGGTTTTGGAATTATGGCTAATGAATTAGTCATATGTACGAATGGTAATTGTGCTCTGTGTACACGACGTATATGGGGCGGCAAACAATGGTCCGATTTTTAGGTTTTTGGTATCAAAAGATGGGAAAGGCTCGGGGCTAATAAGTCATAACAGCTCCGGTCGCGAAAAAAAATTGAAGGCTATCGCGGAAAAAGTTGGGGGAGGGGCGGTTTCCGCTCATGCCATATTTTCAATGGGGAGCGCCAATAAAATCCTAAAATCATTCACACTATATTAACTACAAATGCACCCTAGTCACAACTATTTCTTTAGGGGGAGACCGTTCGCATGTACATCACAAACCTTTTTTTTGCTCATGCAATTTTTTTTACGGAATTTATTTTTTGGGGCTAGACAAAATTTGCTCAAGCCCCCCCCCCCCCCCAGCCCCCCCCCCCCCCCCCCCCCCGTAGAACCGCACCTGCGGGAGGTGCGATCACGCCCACCTTCAGTCTGTCCATCATGCGAGGGCGCTAGCTGAATGATCGACCAAGCCGTCAAACCACGCGACTAGTGTGGAGAATTTGTCACGACATACATGTACAACGAATCGATATACACATAGCGCGGGCCGCGGGGCACTGTATTTAGCAGAGTATTGTTAAAGTCTACTAGTAATGCAACGGATATATAGGATTTAAATTCTCACTACGGGTTACTTGTTTTGCACGGACGGTAGTCCCAGGGACCTTTTTATAAAGGTGTATAGATTGATTGCGCTTTGAAAAGTCAGAAGAATTCCTGGCATTCAACTTCTACAAAGCTCCGGGGCCGGGCATGGCAGTGTGCGACGGTCCGGGAAGAGGCATAACTTTTTACTGATTGAAAAAAAAACTTTTCACAAACCTTAGGCTATTATCATTCATCGTCGTGTGGCTCTGAATAAGTCTAGTATTTTTTTTAGTTTGGTGGCATAACCTGATGACTATGGAGAGAACGTGTAGAAATAGAGACTGGGTACCAGATGTTTCTTTTGAAACAGTTAATTGATGCAAAGGGTGTTGGACTGGTTGTTTCGTGTGTCAGCCTATGTTCGTTTGTTCCAAAACATATCAAATCCTTTGTGGTCAAAAGGACCCCATGTAAACTGGCCAAAGCGCACAGCCAGATGACTTTGGACACATAGAGATAAGAGCTCCCGGGCTCTGTGTATACATGTATACAGTAGCGCTGCCTAGCACGTGTACAATAAACAGACCCTACGTGCTAAGTCATTGAGCAACGGCAAATTTTATTGGAGTTTTTATGTACAATGATTTTTTCGCCGCGTTCTCTCATAGAGGTTGCACATAAAAACCGGCCCGGTGGGTTAGTTCCCCATAGGAATTCATAAAAATTGCTATCTTATGTTTCGGGACTCTCATGCACCGTATTGAGAGTCGCATATTTTCGGACTGTATTAATAAGTACATGTAAATGCATTTCATTTTAGTCCCACCATACATGTGTGTGTGGGGGGGGGGGGGAGGTGGGGGGGGGGGGGGGAGGTGGGGGGACGTGGGGGGGGGGGAGGTGGGGGGGGGAGGTGGGGGGGAGGGGGGGGAGGGGGGGGGGAGCTGGTTCCATCTGTCCATGGGGGCGCTGTTCAAAACCGACGATTATGCACACTAATGGACACTATATGATGCTTTTCAGGGCGATACATGCGTGAAATTAAAAAAAAAAAGGCACACCGAACCACCAATGGCATAAAAAAGGGTACGAAGTTCTTTTTCAAAAGAGCACTTGTTAAGAAAAAAGGGCACTTGTTAAAAAAGGCACTCTTTACAAAATATGGGGGGGGGGGGGTAAATACCCCCTTACACCCCCCCCCCCCCTGGCTACCCCTATGTCTTACATGTACTGATGAAAAGATTTGCTAATAATTGAAAAACTACCACCTTCTCATCACTTATCAGATCTTAAAACAAGTATTAAGATCTTGTATGTATTAATTTACATGAAAACAAGACGAGCTGAATTTCCACTGCATGTTCCCTTTAATTACGGGCAGGAAGTTTGATAACGTGTACAGAATCTCCACGCAAATACCGTGGGACCGGGGGATTTTCGCATAATTTGTAATATATTTCTATACAAAACAAAAATGTCACACACCCCTTCTTCATCCGCACCTGATGCATATACCATAGTAATTTTCTCACGCGATCTTCGCTCCATGATTTTTAGCGTATTGTGTTTCAGGCCAGTTAAGCAGTCTTTGTAAATTTTGAATGCAAGGAAATCGGACATTTCAAAGCGCAACCAATCAATCATATTGTGTTCATTGTATACCAAAAATGTGTATAGGGAACTACGGTGCCTGGCTTATAGCGAATCCCGTTCCACAAAGACCAGACTTGGTTTAGCTTCCAAGTGATGTCGATGTCGTGCGAAGATTGAATGTAATTGCATGGTTGCACGCTAATGTCGTAGTCCCCTATGACTATTTTTGGTACATTGATTTGTTAAGAAAATCACCCTCCGGCGAAACAGGCCTTTGAAAAATTGTTACTAGCATCTCAATGAATGGAAACTGAAAAATCGACCTCTCACTTCCGAAACTAAAATACATGGACTAGTGGAACTCGGTGTACTCGTACACATGATGAACATGTATGAAATAATTTTGTGGCGGTCATTGGATGAAAACTGAAACTATTCTAGGAGACTAAAATTTCTTTTAGGACATACAATTTCTTTGAATAAACTTGAAGGACTCATGAGCATTTACCAAAGAACAAAAATCGAAAATGACCTCTGATAAGGACTGCATGCATTTTAATCCTTTTTGCAAATGGTTCGAACCGACGAAAGCGAGACATAAAGTGGCCGAAGAGCTGTTTGACTGCGCAATAGTCGTAGCCTTGTTGCCATTTTGTGATTGGAGAATAAACTTCGTTCAATTGTTCGTATTTTGATAACTCCAACGCGTGTACGAGACGTACACCCACCCATACACACACTGTTTGATTTTACGGAGGCCAAGTGTCCGGAGAAAAAAAGTGTTTACATTCCAAAACGATGTGCAGGTGCCCTTTTCAAACAATTTTGAACCCCCCAATCGAAATGACCTTGCTACGCCCCTGGTTGACTGTTATTTCCACACTTTTGTTATCAAGAATGTTTTTGGTTGGCGCCCTTCTTTCGTTGACGTTCTTTATTAAGCCCCGAATTCCTTCCCTCTTATACCAGTATCGTTTTTTTTGTATGTTAATCTGTGTTCGGTGGGTGCAACTTAAAGTTAATTAACGGACACCATTTGCCAAAAAGAAGTTAAAGAAAAACTAGCCTTTAACTTTTTTCGGCAAATGGTGACTGTAAATTACCTTTAACCCTAAAAGGGGCGGGTAATTTTCACCATCTCACAGGGGGGGGGGGGGTGTCCGCCCCTCCCCCTAAGATCTCGGCCATCGAGTGACGAAAAATTATGAACCTCGGTACATGCATAGAACGACTTATCATAAATATACCCAAGAAATTTCAGAATTATATGTCTCAAGGCTATCGTGGAAAAAGTTGAAGGGGGTGGGGCGGATTCCGCCCCGGCCTCTTTAGGGTTAAGTTGCATCCACCGAACACAGTTTAATATACATAAAACGATAATGGTATATATACAAGGGAAGGAATTTGGGGCTTAATAACGAAAGTCGATTGTATACAATAAATTCGAAGCAGTATATCATAGTAAAAAAAATTAACCTGTCGAAATTTCACCTCGGTAGCTAAATAACCCTTTGAGAAATTGTAAAAACTGAGAATTGACAGGTATTCGATCCTTTGTCACTGTTCAACCCCTGTTACCTGTGACCTTATACTTATGATAATTGTGTTATGATTTGGCTGGTGGCAGACTTGTGATTTGACTTGTGATTTGACTTGTGACTTGACTTGTGACTTGACTTGTGACTTGACTTGTGACTTGACTTGTGACTTGACTTGTGACTTGACTTGTGACTTGACTTGTGACTTGACTTGTGACTTGACTTGTGACTTGACTTGTGACTTGACTTGTGACTTGACTTGTGACTTGACTTGTGACGTGACTTGTGACGTGACTTGCGACTTGACTTGCGACTTGACTTGCGACTTGACTTGTGATGGAATTGTGATGGATTTGTGATTTGACTTGTGATTTGACTTGTGATTTGACTTGTGACTTGACTTGTGATCTGACTCGTGATTTAACTCGTGATTGGCTTTAGATTGACTTTTGATTGTCTTGTGATGAACTTGAGATAGACTTGTGTTTTTACTTGTGATTTTACTTGTGATTGACTTGTAATTGACTTGTGATTGACTTGTAATTGACTTGTGATTGTCTTGATGAACTTGTGATGTGCTTGTAATGTGCTTGTGATGGACTGTGATTGACTTGTGATTGACTTGTGATTTGATTGACTTGTGATTTGATTGACTTGTGATTGACTTGTGAGTTGATTGATTGTGAAATATCTCACGGCTTTATTATACCTGTCTTTTCTGCTTCCTCTACGCAGTGCTTTTCTGCAGAGGAGCTCCTACGGGACCACTCCTTGACGGAGGCAAATTTGCAGAATGACACCGAAGCAACACTGAAGGAAATCTGCCCATCCCTGCTGTACACGACGACCCTGGATGCGTGCCCAGACCCGGCCCCGACTCAAGCCCCGCCAGCCGACGAACCGGAGGAACCAACAATCGCACAAAGTAACTCGTTGATAATTCAATGTCCATATCAATCCAGTTGGAACAGTTAGAATCCAACCGAAACAAATTTCACCAGAGCTGTCTTTGAATAGGCTAGTACGACTTGTTTATTTAATCTGCCCTTTTAACCCTCCTGTGGTAGGTAGTCAATATTCCGAGCCATGCAGGTCAGTTTCAGGTGGAGGGATAATTCATAAATTGTTAAAGAAACTCTGTCACAAAGAGACACTGAAAAAAATAGCACTGTGGAGGATAGAGTGCAGTGCAGCGCAGCGTGCACACTTGGCCTGATGCGTAACCACACAAAAGAATTGTGCAAGGATCGAGAAGTGTTGATTTATACCCCACCGAAGATTATTCAAAGGAATTTGAAATGTGGGCGCTGTCCCCCCCGGGCTGCGATTTTTTTTTTACACAACTATCTGGGGTACTTTGTGCGCTTTCCCATGGGGCATGGTTATAGGATTGTACGCGGCGCTCTACAATCCTATATAACCTTGATTCAAGTATCCTGAAAATGGGTACCTGTACTGTGTAAATAAAATATTCGCCCCCGGTCTGCGACCTTTGCGCCTCCCTTTTGCGTAGTCTGGTTCCCAGACCAAAAGATTCCGACCATTCCTGATGAATCTTAGGTCAGGTAGCCTCCGGTAATACAATGTATTACAATTTACATCACGTGACTAAAACGGGAGGAATTCCTCCTTTTTTCCGAAAATTTCCGAAGTTTGCCGAAGTCGTTTCGTCGAAATCGGATAGCGCCCGAGTATTTCCGAGTATATAATATAGGTTTAATTAACTGCTAATTGCTTATTAATTTTATTTTAAATGAGTTGATAATTAATATTCATTGTTTCATTTTAGAAAACTTGAAATTCAACGACGAGTTTGTGCATCAAATATACTCGGATCGTACGGGCGAACTTTTTGCTGCGTCATGTACATTTTTGAATTTGACGACCGTTACCGAGATTTTCCAAAACTCGGTCTTCATTCGGCTCCGCCTGCTAACAGTGCTATTTGGTTCCCTAATTTTGAAGATTCCAGATCAACATTACTCAATGTTCACTTACAAAAACATCAAACTGTATTATCATAACTGTATGATATTACGAAGCAAGTGATTTATTTAAAGATTTGATCAGAACATTAAAAGCTGCAAGTGATAAAGCGAAATCGGAAACGAAGCCGCGCTTTGAAAAAGGGCCATTAATGTCGTCATGTTTATTTTTAGCCACGGAGGCTGCCTGACCTACAATTTAAGACGTGAGCGTCGGGAATAATTGTCAGGTCTGGGCACCAGGCTACCTTTTGCGGCCATTAAACTAGCCAGGTCGCCGTTGGAGGCGCAATTTTTGCCGTTGGTCGCCGATGATGGCACAGAGGAGGCTCAATGGTTGCCCAAACATTGCTCGGGGGTCGCAATAAACGCGTTGGTTGCCGTAGGTTGCACAGGGAGGGGAAGCAGGCAAGTGGCTCAGTGGACGCACAGGTCGCATGTAGCTCGACATGGAAATGCCCGAAAATTGCAGTTTTGATGGTTCAAGGGAGGCACACAAGGATCGCTGGAGCAGTAAACATGATTTTTTGGGTTAAGGCGACCACTGCATGAGCGTCCTGGCCATTTTTGGGTCGCTCGTAGGTGGTACAAAGGTCGCAGGCTCGCAGCTCTGTGTAAAGGGGTCCTAACTCTCGTGGCAAAAGTGGTTTTGCAAAACTTGAAGGGTTGTGGAGTGCCGAAGACGTACAAGGAGGGTTACTAGAATTGTGAAGTGCAGAAGACTATAGGAGGGTTGATAGAAAAGGTTATCAAAGTATCAAACTGAGTGTTACAACATAAATGAAGTACCTGTATGTGCTTCCAACATCATGCGACGGCATAATTGAAACATTGTCTTAAATTAAGTCTAATTTCGTATGGGATCAAGTCAACTTTGTATAAGGACAAATGTTGGGATTTGACTTGCCATCTGGGTTGTTCTTTAGATCCGCACTAAAGATGAAATTATAATCCGGCTATTATTACCTCCGCCAAGGAGGTTATGTTTTCAAAAAAAACAAAACGTGTCGCCGCACCACTTAGGGGCAAGCTCCATACCAGAAACCGCAGATTTTTTTTACCAAACTTTTTAGTCTCTTCAAATGTCGGCTGATGTTGCAGATGACGCTCCCCTTAAAACTCTCAAAATATCCTTCAGAGCGCAGCATGAGGTGACCTCAGTAAAACCATAAGGCTTGAGAAGTATATTGAGATAATTAAAAAGCGTTTACAGGTTCCAGATATCCGACCATCGCTCCGTCAGTCTGGCTTCCAGACGCACAATTACAAAATTACAACACCGTGAAATGGTGCCCGACTAACTTTAGTGCAAAATACATAGAGCCCAGAGAGGCCACATAAAGCTCATAATTATTTGATCGTAACCCCATCTAAAACACCTTAAAATTGTGCAGCAGCAAGATTCCAGTCAAACCAGTGAGTTTGGCGGTTTTGAGATCTTACATTGAAAAAAAAAACTTTTACATTTTGCCGACGTGCATGGCTACGCAGCGACGAGCGCGCATACCAAAAACCGGATTTTTTTTGGGCCCAACAACGAACAACACGGAAGGAGATATTTTTAGAGCAAGCAAAATGTATAGTGTATTTGGCGCAATTTCACATATTCCAGCACCCCCTTTTCGCAGCTCCCACAGCCCCCCAGTTCCCGCGGGCTTGTTTTTAACAGACGACTGACCAACTAACTAGCCAACACGATGAAAACATAACCTCCTTGGCGGAGGTAATAATAGCCGGATTATAATTTCATCTTTAGTGATCTAAAGAACAACCCAGATGGCAAGTCAAATCCCAACATTTGTCCTTATACAAAGTTGACTTGATCCCATACGAAATTAGACTTGAAGACAATGTTTCAATTATGCCGTCGCATGATGTTGGATGCACATATAGGTACATTGTACTTCATTTATGTTGTAACACTCAGTTTGATACTGGCTAAAAAAGTAACCTTTTCTATCAACCCTCCTTGTCTTCTGCACTTCACAATTCTAGTAACCCTCCTTGTCTTCGGCACTGACAACTCTTTAAGTTTTGCAAAACCACTTTTGCCACGAGAGTTAGGACCCCTTTACACAGGGCTGGGAGCCTAGCTGCGACCTTTGTACCACCTACGAGCGACCAAAAAATGGCCAGGACGCTCAATGGTCGCCTTAACCCAGAAAATCCTGTTTACTGCTCCAGCGATCCTTGTGTGCCTCCCTTGAACCACCAAAATTGCAATTTTCGGGCATTTCCATGTCGAGCTACAATCCACTGAGCCACTTGCCTGCTTCCCCTCCCTGTGCAACCTATACGGCAACCAACGCGTTTATAGACAGCATATGCGACCCCCGAGCAATATTTGGGCAACCATTAGCCTCCTCTGTGCCATCATCGGCGACCAACGGCAAATATTGTTAATGGCCGCAAAAGGGAGGCCCAAAGGTCGCAGCCCGGGGGCGAATATTTTATTTACACAATAGTACAGGGTCCCTTTTTTTCAGGCGACTTAAATCAAGGTTAAGGATTGTAGAGCGCTGCGTAGCGGCTCTACAATCCTATAACCATGCCCCATAGGAAAGCGCACAAAGTACCCCAGATAGTTGTGTAAAAAAAATATCGCAGCCCGGGGTACAGCGCCCACATTTCAAATTCTTTGAATAATCTCGGTGGGGTATAAATCAACACTTTTCAATCCTTGCACAATTCTTTTGTGTGGTTAAGCATCAGGCCAATTGTGCATGCTGCGCTGCACTCAATCCACAGTGCTAGGTTTTTTTCAGTGTCTCTTTGTGACAGAGTTTCTTTAACAATTATTAGCTATCCCTCCACCTGAAACTGACCTGCATGGTCGGAATATTGACTACCTACCACAGGAGAGTTAAAAGGGCAGATTAAATAAACAAGTCGTACTAGCCTATTCAAAGACACCTCTGGTGAAATTTGTTTCAGGTTGGATTCTTACTGTTCCAACTGGATTGATATGGAGATGTGCATTTGTTGAGTTAGAAACGCTGGATAGAAACTGTTTCATACGACGATGCCCCGTTGTGCATATTTTAAGTCAGTGTATTTTAATTCAGAACAGAAAGAAACAAGTACCAAGTGGTACAATCTACGGCGGCCGGACAATGGTGGTAACGTGTTTTTGCTTGCCAGGAATTGAAGGCACTTTTTCATTCGATCTTTCAATAGGGGCAACGGTGCATACCCGAAGGTTTTTGTTGATTTCATTTTAAAGTTTTATTGACGTTGCTAGCATTCTGTTCTCACCTTAACAAATGGCAAGGTTCATCCGGCGGTTACACACAACCCAACCTAATAGGATTATGGAACCGGCTTTCATTGAAACTAGTCATTCTTTACGCCAACTCCATTGCAATGTCGTTTTAATAAAAAAGCTATTCATGCTTTACCCTCTTGAACACAAGTCATTGAATTATTCGTACCAATGCACGGCGTGCGCGTGGCGTGCAGCGCACAGTGCAATGGAAGTACTATTGCACTGTGATTAGAAGTACCATTGCACTGTCACTGCACATGTTGCCGATGGTGGCGCTGTGGTGTTTAAATTGACAATAAAAGTTCTGAACTTATTGAACTGTTTGAGTTCTAAACTTGTGGAAAAGTTTTAAATTGAGAAAAATTGAATATGATAACTCTGAACTCGTCAAACTTGTAAACAGTTTTTAACTTGAATAAATTGGCTATTAAAAGTCAACCAATCAGATGACGAGGATTTATTCAGGTGTTATATAAAACAAATAATGAATGCTTCGCCTCGTTGAATGGAACATTTCATCTGTCGCTCACAAACATTCATTATTTGTATACCGTAACCAGCGGGGGTGTAAGAGGGTATTTACCCCTATTGTGATCAAGTTGTGCCCGATCACTCAATAAATAATCGACTATCCAAAAATGATCAATCCTGAGAAGATGTCATCATGCAAATTCTTGCGAATTTACACAAGGCATTATACAATGTATACCAAGGGCGGATCCAGAACACAATTTTTTGGGAGGCCAAAAAATTTTTTGGACCCCCAAAAAGTGGGTCAAAAAAATTACGACGTGGTGTTCGGGGCCCGCTTAAGGGCCCCGAAATTTTTTTGGATTCTAGATGCTCTGTGGTGCGATCTGAGGCAATTTCTGACTACTTTAACCAATGTTTTTTTGAGGAAAAGATGGTGGTGTACTCATTGCCTGCCTTTATTGCGATGTCACATTAAAAAAAAAAAAAAAAATTGGTCTCGTTTTTTTTTGGGGGGGGGGGGGGGCCATGGCCCCCTTTGCCCCCCCCCCCTGGATCCGCCCTTGATGTATACCGGTATACAACAAAACATGGTTCACCCCTTCGGCTGCCCGACTACCTCATATTTCATCACAGTGCATCCAGAATCTAACAGTTTCCGGGGCCCATAAGCGAGCCTCGGACCCCACGCCATAAGGGCTTGGAACATGAAAAATTCAACTTTGATAAAATATGCAAGAAGGAATGTACTAAATATAAGAAAGCAGCCTTGCAACAACAATATTTACAAACGATGTCATACATAATAGTACAATTCTTTACCAGAATTAAATGGAACAAAAAATGGTACAGGGTCCTCGACTTTTCGGTACTGTAGAAACGTTATAATAGCAACAGTATATTTTAAACAAAATAATGAAATAAATTATCCTATCAATCTCATAAAATTTTGCTCAAAAAAGTCAGGCGAAAGTGGCCAGGAATCGCCTCAGATTGCACCGCAGTGCATCCAGAATCCAACATGTTTAGGAGCTTAAGCGGGCCCCAAAACCCACGCAGTGAGCTCGCGCTCCGCGCTCGCATTAGACCCCCAATTAGTTCTGCTTTCGGTGTCCGTCCCTACCCTATTCAGACAGCTCCTGCCCTATTTTGTTTTATGGTAAAATCCAAAAAAATCCAAAACCATCAATAATTACCTTTTAAGCTTGACTACACGCAGACTCCTCGGATCCATATTGTCGTCTACAAAGAAAAAAAAATAACAAAAAAATCTTTCCTACCAACCCTATTTACGAATGCTAGGTATTCATAAGCATTGGGTTTTGCTATAATTTTCAGAAATGATCAAGAAAAACAAAAATGTTCAAGTATTCTGGTTCCCTGACTCCACTAAAGATGAAATGTATCAATTTTATGGATGCCGGAAAATTGTAAGGTGAGGGAACCAGTCTAGTTGGCCTGCACCTGTTCATGAATATGTAACCAAAAACAAACAAAATGTGGTCTGAAAAAATGGTAAATTTGGCGTAGTAGTTAAAAAAATAGTTAGGTTCACCGTTGGAAATGTATACAAAAATACCACTTTCTTGAAAATGACTTCACACCAGGTGCCATAATTTTACAGGATGCTTTACACTGTCATTTACTAACATCCTAGTAAGGTATTCGTACAAACTGGGTAGTTATATTTTTCGATGTTTGCAAATAACCCTTTAGCCTTAATGACCCCCTAAGCTTGATAAAGGCTGTCAAGCTTTCCCCCCAAACGAGCTTGTTTCCGCTACAGCACAGCGCGCCGCGCGCACTACATGTAGTTGTACTACCGCCTCAACGACCCCTGCATGCGCTTTGTCTGCACGTACGTACGCCCCCCCACCCCCCCCCCCCCCCCCCCCCCCCCCCACACACACATCCGTAAACAGCCGTACAGTAAGTAGGCGGATGTGCCGCGACTTGGGCGTACGTATGTACGTGCAGGCAAAGCACATGCAAAGGTCGTCGAGGCTAACAGTAGTACAAGTAGTAGTGTGCGCGGGGCGGTGTGCTGTAAGCTCGTTTGGGGAACTTGGTCAAGGCTAAGCACCCCTGGGCAAAAGTTTGTTCCAGTGGCCGGGCTTGCCAGATAACTCTAAAATTATGGACGACTTTGCATGACAATTTTTGTAGGGCCAGGGATGTCCTTGGTACAAGTAGAAATCCATTAGATTTTGGAAGGGATCCGGATCTGGTTCTGGATCCAGGATTATATAATGTTTTTAGGATTCTGCACCATGATGCGAGTATTTCTTTTGGGTGTACTGACAAGCGTGTCAATAGATGGCGCCCTCTAACACGTGGTCAGTGCCATATAGCAGTGGCACACCTAGGATTTGGCTGGGGTGGGGGCTCACATTTTTTTCCAACTCAATTTGTAGAAGTACTTTTTTTCACAAATCTTGCCAGATTTTTTTGGGGCGTTTGACGTTGGTGGCGCTACTACTCGAAAATAGGCCACATACATATCACCAAGGGACTGAAAAAAAACCCCAAAATATGACAAGCTGTAATTGATGGGGAGAGGGGCTCAAGCCCTCCAAGCCCCCCCCCCCCCCCCCTTGGGTGCGCCACTGCCGTATAGAGAAAAGTTGCGACAACTTCAGACTGTTGAACCATAATGGCCGCTCATTATGTGCACAGTGCAGCGTGCAACTAATGTGTACGATATATGCATGTATATATGCATATAATCCGCCATGTTGTTCCAAACTTCCATTTTGGTTGATATATTACATCACAATCATCCAATCAAAACTATAGCTTGACTCTCTTTCGAAATTTGCCCTCTTTTAGCTTGATCCATGATGTTGAGCCATCTCAAAGAATCAGCTCAATTCGTAAGTGCCTGCGAGCGAGCACGTACGTGCTTGTGTTTTGCACAACAAAATAACTGTCCACCGCCGTATTTGAAGCGACCTCGCGCGGCAGCTCGTGCCAACTATATGTACAATCTTTTGCCATGGGTTACAGAACCGGATTTAAGTGCACTGGGTTTTGAGCAGCGGTGTTTATTATTTGGATTTTCCATTTTTCCTTCTTCCCTCTTCCTTTCCCCTTCCTTCTCCATTCTTCATTTTCTATTTTGCCGACAGCACTATAATTTTGCCCACAAAACTGACTAATTGGGGTGTAACCCCCCCCCCCCCCCTGTAGCGACGCCCGTGTTAGAACGATGCTTTCGCTATAGGAGGCCAAGGAGGGGCCTTCGTTATAGAAGTGAAACTATAGCGTGCCCATGCAGATTGGTCCGTGGAAACCCAATGAATCAACGAAGTGTCAAAGATCAAACTTGGCTCTAGGGAAAGCCAATTACAATGTAACACGACAGTCTGCGTGCTTGTCCTGACTGTTTTCCCATTTTCTTTTCGTAGTTTGGGGTTATGGGCTTCTCTGTGTCACCATCATCAACTGTGGTTCGCTCATGGGAGCTTTTGTGGTGCCATGCATGAACAAGAGGGTGTACAAGCTCATCATAATCTACCTTGTTGGGCTGGCCGTTGGGACGTTGACTGGCAGTGCCTTGCTTCATCTGATACCCAAGGTAATCATTGAATAACTGGAGCGATTAACATACAGGGCGCCACCAAACGGTGAGCAGGAAGACCGTGTTTTCCCGCAGTGCATCATGGGAAAGCCGTTTCAACATCCAATTCTGGATGTTTGTTTGTAGCGCATAACGAAAAAAATATTTTTGAAAAAAAACCTCATCGATTCTTTTTTTGGAGGGTGGGGGATGTTTCAATTGTTTTTGTCTTTGTTTCGTTTCCGTTTTTGTAAAACTTGCATTCTTGCCGTTATAGGGCCATACGCAGTTTTTCTTGGCAGCAGCGATTTTAAAGCACAAGCAAACAATCTTCAAGACCCGAACTGATGTGACGGTAAAAAAGTCACACTCTGCCAAATTTTGCGAAATGTTTTTGAGTAACCTGCTTTATGCCGATATGATGTGTGTTACGGAAACTCCATAATAATTTAGGCCTACATTTACGGAGAAACGTTGAAAACCCTCGTCTGTTTAGACCTTCACTACTTTGCCATGTAAAGGACCACGGTTCAAAACGCAAGCAACATGCAAACGCTGCAACCTCTGCTGGGGTAACCAGGAAGTCGAAGGTTCCAATCCAGTTCGGGTCATTTATTTGTCCAACTATCTAATTCATTTTTTTCTATTCTTACAGACTCATGGTCTGAAAGTGAAGAAACTCGGCAACACGTTGGTCTGGAAGAACACCTGTATCCTGGCTGGCATTTACCTTTTCTTCTTCGCTGAGCGAGTCCTGAAGATTGTGACTTCCAAAAAAGACTACAAACGAGTACGTCATCAAGTCCTAAATTGCAAACGATAACCCCCACCTTTGTATGGGTCGAACTTATTACACTCGTAAATTAAAGTTGTATCAAAATGACTTCTGAAACCTCAAGCAATCTCTCATTTTCCTATAGTCTGTGAGGTTTCAACAGTATATTGACGGCAAATAATGACTTTCTATAATCAGTTTTTAGAATTAACGCCGCGCAAATCAAGGAACTTTTTCTTTATCCATGTTTTTTTGTAAATGTTTTCATGGCACCCATAAGTTTCCATCTAAATTCAGATGTTGTGGGTCCCATCACAAAATTAGAGTTGATTTTGTAGTCTTTATAAGATGGTGTGAAACTACACAGACCGGCAAAATACAATTTTTCAAAGAGTGAAAATCGGTACCAGTACAGATCGCTTTAATTTTGAACTGAAATACATTAAAAAAGACACACTGTAGTAGACATTTGAGTGAACACAATAAATATTGGATTGAATAAATTTCCTAACTCTCCCTGACCGTTGTCTGATGGAGTGACGTTTCATTCGGGTAAAGTATATTTTTACTCTTTAGATAGTAGTTATACTAATGGTCTCTATAACTTCAGTTTAAAAAAAACCCACAAAATCGGCAAAGAAACCAGCAAAAGTCGCAATTGTGCGGCACAGAAAATGGAAACAATTCTATGGCTGACCCCCTTTTTTGTTGAATCCAAGAATACTAATGAGATGATTTAATGAAGCCACGAACTAAATCTTTTAAAAATTAATCAGCTTTTACAGCTTTGGAATCAGACTATTTTGTGGCCCATTTGGTAGGCGACATGCTTCAAAAACTATAAGTGTTCAAATGTATAAGTGGTATTTCTTCTCAACTGAATTTTCGTTTTGGTTGTATACAGGAAGTCAAACGCAAGGAGAGCATCATGCATGTCTCTGGAATGCACGACCCCAATTCCAACGGGGGAGATGGGTACAAGATCACTTCGGGTGAATCTGCCCTCCAGCTGACTGAATCCTTCCCAATCGCCAATGGTAACACTCTCAATGAGGTAATCTATAATTAACATTAAAGTTGCTGATCGTCATATTACTACTGTTTGTCTTTGGTGTCATATGAAATGTGGACTCCTATGGACTAGAACACCATGCGTAAAATATGCCACTTTCCTCATTATATTCGCTTAGTTATGCACATGATACCTCCAATGAGTCGGTATTTCATAGAATCCAAGTTTTACACTAAATCGGAAAATGGCGTCGTTACAGCGCCTTCATTCGCTAAAAAAGTTTTGCCCATGGGAGACATTCGAGACGCTTGGTGGCGGCAAATTAACTCACGGGCCTTTTTTTCCTATTGTTTACGTCATTTTGATTATGCGCACATTAATTAGCTTAAACGTGACGTAGGGCCTAAACAAGTGATACGTGATACGTCTCAAAATGTCTCCCTTTGTTTACTGTTGTTTTGCCACTCGTGTCTTTGTAACACAGAAGGAGGATGGACATGGCCACAGCCACGGCGAACTGACCTCTGCAGACGGCAAGGTGCGTATCGCCTCGGTAGCTTACATGATTGTCTGCGGTGACGGTCTACATAACTTCGTAGACGGGTTGGCTATTGGGGCGTCCTTCACCACCAATCTGCTGAGTGGTTTCTCCACCTCTATCGCCATCGCATGTGAGGAGTTTCCTCATGAGCTCGGTGAGTTTACTGCTACCATTCGCCAGCTGAGATGTCCAGCCACATGTTGGGGTGTTTCAATAGTTTTGTGCGTGATCTCTGGCTTCATTATACGGGTGTAGGACATCTGACTAGCGCCCACAGAATAAAGACATTGACAAAGGGGAACCATTAACATAGGACAGGATCCATCGTTGTTAACATTTCAAAAAAAATCACGATTGACTGTCTCCACTTTTATCTCCGATGCTAAACAGGTGACTTTGCTGTTCTGCTCAAGTCTGGGCTGACTGTCAAGCAGGCCATGGGATTCAACTTCTTGTCATCGTTGAGTTGCTACATTGGTCTGATCGTCGGCATCATCGTTGGCCGTCTGACCGAGGCAGAACCGTACATCTTCGCACTGGCCGCCGGCATGTTCCTGTACATCGCATTGGTGGATATGGTAAGTTTCATAACAAATAAATATTGACCTTAGCCCAGTGTTTTGGCCTCGTGGTCTGCAGCATTGAACTCCTGGTCTGTGGGTAATTCTGCAGGTTGTGGGTTCGAGTCCAGCCTGGGGTTATGGGGCGTGTTCCCCGTTGGGCAAGGCACTTTTACACTCCTTGGGAAGAACCCCACCCAGGAATAATTGGGTATCTGTGAGGGCAGAGATGGTTTATGTTGTGATTGATTTCAGCTGCTTTGCGCCGAAATGGCAGCATCAAGCTGTATACTCCCCAGAGAGCTGAGATCCGGGGATGTTCCATTGCTCCAATGAACAGGGTAGTATACCCACTACTTTTCTCGTTAAAAATGGCCAAGTACTCGTTGAATAATGTTTCTTTTGGTTGTTTCCCTGTATTTGTACAGTTGCCAGAGATCGCCAACGTGACCTCTAAGAGCAAATTCCGCCTTGGATCTGAGATGGGCATCTTTCTGCTTCAGAATGCTGGCATACTGACTGGGTTCGGCATAATGATACTTCTGTCTGTGCTGCATCCCTACATCAAAATTAAAGCCTAGATAGGTACACTCTCAAAAGGCACTGGTGACTGACCCGGAAGCGTATTTTTTTGTTTGCAGCATACATCGTATTTAACCAATCACATCACACACCCTAATGTGAATATTGATCACGCTGTGTGGATGGAAGACACTACGAGTAGGTTCTCGTAGTGTTTTCCCTTCAATTAAACTTCCCAACCAAAAGTAAACAAAAATATTTGATGAAAATGGATATGGGTTCGAACCACAGATCTTGCAATCCACATAGTTCATTCCACTCTCCACTAGACCACTGTGACAGCTCGACGAAAGCCGTTCTTTGAAATGCTTTATTGTACATGCATGACTGAGTGATAGCAATGGTGTGACGTCATTGTTATTTTCTTATGAATAAGCATCAAACTAGCTGAATAATCATGATCCATTGATGATGTGTGCTGCAAATTAAAATACCGAGACCCGGATCGCGGAAAGTTTGGCCTGACACTTTACTTTGACACTCTTCTGAGTCAAAATGACATCTTTAACTAATTTCTCGGGTCAATTTGACTCAATGTCATATGTATATCGGATTACAATTAACATCGGACTCCTTGACCCTATTATTGGTTAAACCTTATCGGGTGACCGGTTACTCTCCTAATTATCATACTTACGCATGCGCAATACAACCAATGAGTCCGTATGCCACAGAGACAATTCATTCACACTACACATAGCCCTGGCAAACGAACTCATTGCGCGGAAAGCAAATGAGGGATAATCCCTCCTTTGATTTTACTTTAATTTGGTTTGTTTTAATTTGTTATTAATTTTTTTAACACAAATTATTTACAAAAGTTCTAGCTAGTGATAAATATTATGGGGGAACAGATAATAGCTAAGTTGTTTGCGTTTTTATTTTATGTATACGTGTACATGTCTTTCTATATATTTGCTGACAACGGATATAATTTCTTTCTTGATGTAAGTAGAAAAACAACTTATTTTTTATCTTGTTTATTGCTGTAATTGTGTTGTGGTTTGTATTTTTAATTTTGGGTTGGTTTTAGATGACGGCATCTGGCGAATGAGCAAATATACGTATAAAATGACACAATGGATACTCTTTTTTTTGGGTGAACATTTTTTTTCAGGTAGGCCTAGTGGCTAAATTCCCAAAGAAAACCATGAATGGTAAAGTGAGTGCCTTATGTGTCGTCACACTACCGCCTACAGGAAATCCAATACAGTCGCAAAGTGCACTTTAATCAATCATACCATTATAAAGAGACCTTCTGCACAATGAAGACTTCAAGTCGACTTTTTTTCAAATGGTAGTTGATTAGTTATGTACACAGCGGCAAACATTTGAACGACGCATGAAAATTCTCAAAACAAAAGGCCTCATAGTTCAAGGTGAACGGCCAACCTGCACAAGTCAGGTCGTTAGTGGACTCAAATAACACGGATAAATGTTTGTGAAACATAGATGTACAAAAATAATGATGATGGTGGCAGGAAAAATACTTGAAGGTTTTCAAAATCACATTTGTTTTGTAATGAAATAGAGCGCGCAATGCGAATAGGACATTGCCGGATTCAGCCCATTAAACATAGTTATCTATAAAAAAAAATGTATGACATTTAATATGTATATATTGGTGTACGGAGGTACTAAAGTGTAGAAGAAAGCTTTCATGTTTTGCCAGTATTTTATACATTTGAAACACTTGTATGAGATGGGACATTTCGGACAAAAGAGTATAAGACTATATATTTTTATGGAAAAACAAATCTGTAGTGTTAATGTATTTTGTTCTTGATTCCTGTATTTTAATGGTTTGCGCGGGGAAAAATTAATTTTCTAATAAAAAGTGCTTTAAATCAGGGAGCCATCTTCGTTTCAATCGCACAAGTTATTGAAGACAGGTTTATACTTGGTACTTTCATGATTTAATCATGTTTCTAATAATAAAACGTACTTAATCGGACTGTGGGCCTATATCATTACGTGTCTTCTTGCATACCTCAGACAACTGCCATTCGCTCTTTGCAGGCTACGCCATCAGCATGCAGAGCCTTGATCTGGCAACTGAACACACTAAATAAAGCCGGTTCAGTGATACCCGTGTATACGCGGGAATCACTGAACCCCGACACGGGAATCACTGAACCGGATATATTTATTGTGTAAAATGCCCGATCGATCGAGGCTCTGCATGCTTATGGTGGAAGCGTGCAAAGAGCGAATCGCTCTTCCCTTTACTTTTTTTTGCCCTAAAAGTCCTCCCTTCATGACGAGTGGCTCTGATTTGTCAGGTCCACATAACCAGGTGTATTACTTAATTGTGATTGGCTAAAAATCATTATAGCACGCACGTTCACCTTTTCGCCGTTCACTTCTTGTTTCACCCACAAAGATGCAATACTTTTGTGTGTGTGGTCTGAAGTTTTCCCTACTTTCTATATTTCTTACATTGCTTTACCCATGGTATGCCCAAACAATTCGAAACTGTTTTCCATGGGGCCGTGCAATTTTGAAGCTTTCGACTTTCATTGTATGGTCTCGGGGAATTCAAACTATAGGCCGACAAGTTGTCAAAGAGCTAGATATTTATAGCTCACGGGGCAAAGAGCATCTCTAAAATAGTCACGAAGTGCAATACACGTCCGTTACCCCTGCGTTAGGTCAATACAAAAGAAATATATCACACAATCAACGTTGACCTGCAAACACTGCCGGTGCTCTGACACACATGCAGTAGCTAGGCCGCACACAGAAGGTAGGTTCCATCTATGTCTTCATGATGACTGTACAAATGATAAGATGATATCCATGTTATTTATTATGTTGGTGGTGTTCGTCTCCAACATACCCGGGAAAAGGTTTTTGTGTGAAGAATGCACGTGTACTAGCAACATTATTAGTGAAGTGTAGTGCATGTATCACCGTAGTAAAGTAAGCTTTCGGTTAATAGGCTACACGATGAATAGGCTACACGATGACCGAAGTGGCGTAATATAGACCATTATCATGTTGCGGCCATATTGATTTTTCTCCATTCAAATCAACGTAACCAAAGTGAGGCGGGAAGAAAAAATAGTCTGGTTCCTTTTTTTGCACACAATCATTCAGTACTGTTATTGGATACAGGGAAAACGACTGAATGCTTGCAGCATGATAAAGGTCTATAGGCCATAGTTAAAGAGTCGTGTGATATCATTATTGTAACCCGTACCTTGAGTGGTCATCTGGCCTAGTGATGGGTGATTCCCATTAAACAAATAATGCTTGCTAATACATGTATTAAACTTTGCTCCAAACTCAATAATTTCAATTGAATGTCGTTTTCATCATTCTGACTTGCAACAGACATCAGACATGTTGGCGCTCGTATGCGCTGCAGTTGCAGTATTTACCTGTCTAGTAGTAGTCTGGGTACTAGACCGCATCTATATCGACATCGAAGGCAAGTATGTCTTCATCACAGGCTGTGACTCTGGATTCGGCAACCTGCTCGCCCGCAACCTGGATCGACGCAGGGGGTGTCACGTGATCGCAGCCTGCCTTACAGAGGAGGGCGCGGCTAGACTCAAGCGTGTGACGTCATCGAGGTTGACTACATTGCGATTGGATGTTACAAGCAGTGAGAGTGTTCACAGAGCGCGTGATGCAGTACAAACAATCATACCGGAGGGACAAGGTATTTCCTGATGTTACACTTTCACAATAACATTCCTCGTTTGAAATCTTAATTTTTATTCAGAAATACCAGGAACTATGAAATAACACATCAACAGCGCGGAAATCAAAGTCTGCGTTTTTAAATAAAATTATTTAATAAAACTGTCTGGAAACGAGCAAATGCTTACGTTGCTATGCAAATAAAAAGCTTGTAATATCGAAAATGTGCTGAAACTTATAAACCTGACACTTGTCGGAATGGCAAAATTCTTTCTAATACAAATGATAGCAAGAAATACAGACTTGCGACTCGATCATCTTTAATCCCTCAAATCTCCGTGTAAAAAAAACCCGAACAAACAAAAAGAATCTGTTCATTAATCGTTTTCCAACGCTGCAGATACATTTGCAGAATGGTGACAATGATGTTGAAATGTTACCCCTTTTAAACGCATGGTGGCGTGCTCTGTTGTTTCATGATAAATAAGAACACAACATGTCTGCCTTCGTTGATTTTGCCAGAATTGTGGGGCTTAGTCAATAATGCTGGAATAATCTCCCCGCTGGGACCGTACCATTGGCTGAACAGGGATGACATTGTGAAAGTCCTGCAGGTCAACCTCGTTGGCGCCATTGAAGTGACTAACACGCTTTACCCACTCATCCGCGCCGCTAGAGGGCGTATTGTCAACGTGTCCAGCGCGGTGGCGCTATTCCCCTCGTCGGGGACCATATACACAGCATCGAAAGCCGCCATAGAAGCTTTTTCAGACAACATCAGGTATCAACAATTTAGCATTACCGTAGTTTGTTATTAATTACCTATCGTAAAATTTGCATTAAGAATATTGTGTTAATTTCAAAAGTGGGAAAGAATGTAGCATCCTGACGCCACTTATTTGGTTGTGTACAAAGTCTATGGAGAGTCGAGTACATTATCAAAGTACTTTCAAACAAAATTGAAAATGTTTCTCAGTCTCAGATTCATGTCTTTTCAACATTTTGCAGTGACTGACATTCATTGAGATAATAATAATACAAGAAAAAAAGTGGCGTCAGGATGCAACATTCTTTTTGAAAAGTGCCCAATAAACATTATTGCAAATGCTCTGGTTAGTAGTATCAATAGCTTTATATCAAAGTAGCAGAAACACAGCTTGTTAACGTTAATCCCAAATGTGTAAGTCAAAGACAACCAGACCTTTCCCAGTCACAGTCAGGCCCGGTGTCAAAGGCCTTCATGGGCACAGCTAGACATTCCTGAGGAGAAAGCACAATGCAATTCTCCCTTCACCGACCTTTCAGATTATTATAAAGGTATCACAATCCAACTGTATAAAACGTAAGCCTCAAAATCTTTTGAATCGCAAGACTTTTGCTGTCACTATTAAGGGTCAAAATGCCATGGAATCCGGTTCAAAGAACCTTTCCGCCATCAACTTATTACTGACATCCAAATCAACGTTGTGTCCATGATCCGGGAACAACACCTCGGAAATATAACAACCTCTTTATTATTTAGTCTCTTATAACTTCCTTTTCATTCATGCCAACAAGGTGTGACATGAAACAGTATGGCGTGTCTGTTCACATTATCGAGCCAGGGGCGTACCAGGGTACATTCTCTGATACAGACGCAATGAAACGCAGACTGAACACCGCCTGGGAGCGGCTACCGCAGGAAGAGAGGGACAGCTTTGGTGGCGAGATTGCGCGTGAAGCAAGTAAGCTCGTAGCTCAATATGATCCGTAAATGTCCCTTATTACAAAGAGCCCATCTGTGTAACAAGACAGTATTTTGAAATATGTGAAAACCAGATGTGAACTGAGCGTCAGTTTGACAAGATGTGCCTTGACTGCATAATTATTCAATCACAACATCACACGAAATCTTTGCAGTTATTTAAAAGTTTCAAGATGTGCAGTACAGACTTTTTTTTGCAAAAAACAAAACGTCCTGAGAGGTCAAACTCCTTCATTGCTTTTCAAGTTTATTTTATAGATGGATAATTAATATGTTTTTCTCTAATAAAAGTCCCATTTAACAATCTGTATTTTGTAAATTCCACTGCTTTCGTTAGTTATTAAACCTAGTTGTGTTTTTGTATACATTGTGTTTTAGTGGAACTTCTTATTATCGATGCCCTGCGTATGGCGTCCCCTAATTTGCATGAAGTGACAGATGCTATGGAGCATGCGCTCTGTTCCCGGTTCCCATGGCGACGGTACCTACCAGGACTGGATGCTAAATTATTCTACAAACCGATGTCTCTCCTTCCCGCCTTTTTAGCGGATGGTGTTTATAATTTCTTGTTTGGTCAGGCACTAGAAAACAAAAAGAAAATTATAAGAAAGGCCAAAGCGATGGAGAAAAAAGACTAACTTGAGATCGTCATATGGGTGGTTCAGCACAAACACCGTTTTAATGTTCTGTCCACGGATCACAAAAAGGTAAGTGTTCTTTCAGCTAGACGAAAACAATTCACATAGGGATGTGTGTTAATCGATTTCGTTTTGCTGAAAGAACACTTACCTTTTTTGGACAGAACTTTGAAAACGGTGTTTGTGTTCAAAATTCCTTAACTTGAAAAGTACATGAGTGATTTGAATGATTATTGCACCAAGGCCAAAAAAAGTCTCCGGTTTCTGGTATGGAGCTTGACCCAAAATTACAGAATACCGGGCAATGTGTTATGGTAGAGATTGATGAATTTTAAGTCGTAAATGAAAATACACGTAAAGAGGTAAGCTGGACAATAATATGTAATAAGTATGTTTAGGAACGAGTGGATCCATCAGAACAATTTTTTTTGGGGGGGGGGTGAAAAAACGAATTTGTTTCCCCGACAAAAATTGAAATCAAACAATTTTGCCGTGGGGTCTGCGGCACACTTAAGGGCCCCGGAATTTTTTGAATTCTATATGCTCTGTAGTGTGATCTGAGGCAAGTCCCGACCACTTTAACCAATTGTTTTTAGCAAAAGATGGTGGTGTACGCAGTGGCTGCCTTTTTTGCATTAATTGACCTTCCCCGACTTAAACTATGTCCCTCCCGCAACTATTATCCGGTGTGCAAGGGAACAAATAGTTTCGATTCTTATTAATACTTTGTGCTATGAGATGAATTCGATTCATGTTTAGTATTGGACAGCTGTATAAAAGCATTACTCACGACCCTTCATGCGTTTGCACCTTTACCAGATCTTATTGTTAAACCTTCGCCTGGGTTCACAACTTTTGTTCCATTATTACGAGACAGGCACATTTGTCCTAGAAATACATGGAGAGCCACACACATGCAGTCACCACGGTGGCTTGTACGGCATACAAACTCTCGTTGTTACCTCTCAAATCCAAATGGAGTTGTACATGTCAGTAATACAGCTACGGAAATATACTGGAATAAAACAGAACTAGTACATGCTTGTCGTTGTGATCGATAATTTGAGGAGAGCAGCTTATTTGTGGAAACCACATTTCATCGTCCACTAGAATGAATGCCACTTTTGTGACTTGGAGTATTCTCATCGAAATATGTCACTCACCACAGGAAAATATTTCGTTTGGAAAATACATGAAATTGGAATATCATCTGAAAAGTACAGATCGGTAAGTTTCCAACAGTCGATTCATGAGTTCAGCTATTTATCTATTCTCTATACGGTTGTCCTTTTTTGTCCATCTTCATAAGTCATTACTTAAGTAACAGAGAAATAGTTACGATAAAACTGAAAGTAAATGGGTAACGATTATTCCGAAAAATTGGGACTCTCAAAACTGTGCATGAGAGTCCCAAAGCTTAAGGTCTTGAAAACATGCTATACAAGAAATTAGACTGGCACTTAAAACAACCAGTCCAACATTGCTTCAGTACTGAAGTGTGCCAAAAGAAACATGTGGCATGAACCGGCAACTTTAATCTCTATTTACAACACATTTCTCCATACTCTAGTCAGTAACCAGACTAATGACAAATTGACAATGAAGGAAGAGGTCAGTCTTTCCAAATTGTTGGACCATGGTTCGACATGTACTAGTCTAGTGTTTAGCCTCATTTTGAAATCACTTGACTTCCTTCGCATGAGGAATAATATTGAAGAAATATCTTCCATAGCCCTAACAGTCCTGAATCCTCCCATTTTAATACGATTTTGCACATCCCCAGGGAGTTATGGTTAAAATTGAATTGAATCTGCAAACTTGGTTGGTGAAATACTGAGGACCTTTTTGCACAAATTTGCTGGCGAAAGAGTGAGTAAAGTTGGCCTGATTTAGTTTTGCACATTTCAGAGCACTCCATGTCCCATGGGTGAACATTAGATGTGAGTGAATTCATTGTAAATTGTGACAAAAGTAAACTTAGAAAGAAAAAGGAAAAAACAAGCAATGGCAATTAAATTTTGATTCTCATTAACATTGAAATATCAACAAAGTATTGTTTTGCTGGGAACAAGCGTTTGCAACAAATTAAAAGTATGCTTAGATGATATATGTGTTCAACTACTTGTGAAATAAAAACTTGTAAGGATTAAAAAAACAATTGAGTAAGTAAATAGATTTGGGGTTTGGAGATGACCCTGCATTGTTGCCAAATATACCTCCCGTTACCCCGCTAATCGAATCGTTTTAGAATGCTATACAGCGCCACTAGTGCCATATACATGACCTTTGAAAGGATTAAAATAAAAATAATGAGACACACATTTTTGTTTGAAAACAGTTGCATTTAATCATCCGAAGTACATTGGGAACCTCTAGAGTCCGAACTACAGAACTTATATCCATACACAGTTTGAACGTTTTTACATGTATTCTTGGTGGGGTCAGTCAAAATATACTTCAATATCACAGAGAATATAAAAACAATATTTTTGCTCTATTAGAGTTGCACACACTTTATAAAAATAATAATATAAAATAATATACATGCAATTCCTTAGAAATTATTCAAATACTTTCTACATTGTTTCCTTCAACTGATTGTAATTTTTTTTTTAATTATATATCGTTAGCAAAACAGAAAACAACTAAAATTTACAACCAAGCAGCCAAACATATTTTTTTTTTTAAATGGACGCTCTTAAATCATACTGCATTCGATTTCAAAGCACACACAACTTTATTTCCTGAATTGTCAAAAAATGACGGATTAATTTCGGCAAAACCCTGGTAAAAAGGTTAATTCCTATCAAAATGTGACGGAAACGAGTCTCTCTATGTACATATATAACTAAGCTGAAATACAAATGTTAAAAACAGGAAAATCAGCACAACACACAGTGTATGGTTACCTTATAAACACTTTATTCATCAAACAATCGGCTAACAGCATATTTACACAAACAACAATTATTAAATTTTACATCCAAACATTTATATCCCTCCTTTTATTTCATGGGATCTGGCTGGAGTGCTTTTCTGCAACTATGGCTAGCAATCAATATCACTATGAACGTTAATTTGGCTTCACTTTTAGAGTTCCGTGTGGTTTTCCTCATAGTGATAGTTCACATTGCGTCTTCTTCGTCGGTTCTCTGGGTATGTGACCTGGAAGCGACCCTGATCAACAAAGCTTGGAATGAAGTCCGGGTCCCCGACGATCAGACCGTGGTGGGCGTAGAGGCCTTGGTCTAGAAGCATACTTGATCCTGTAAACCAAAAATAGAATAGTGATATCGAATGTCGTGACGTCAGCTTTGCTTTACCAACCATGTACAGTAGGTCCTGCAAATCCAAATGATAACAGCAATAACAAGTTTGCACACACAATGTATAAGATTCGGTGAAATGACACTGCTGAAAGAGAGAAGAGATCAGTGCTTTGGTTTACTCATGCCTGGATTCCATACCTTGTTCTTCATTGTCCATGTTATAGTGCGCATCCAGCAGGTCTTTATGCTTCTGTCGTTCCAGGCTAGCTAGCTGCATGTGTTCCTTAATCTCTTCATCGGAGAGACTTACACCCCAAATACGCACCTGTGAATGTAATGGATTATATCATTGCTAACGAACGTTACAGAATGTCGATCCAGAGTGGCTAGTATGAAACAGTCGTCAGAACTTTTTGACAATGAAAGCCTATCTGAATTCGAGTATCATCCCGATATCGTTTGATACAATGAAAGTTATTTGTGATATAAAACTTTCTTGAACTTGGAGCTGAATCAATCGCAGTGTAATCTTTTGATTAAAGACCATATGGAGCTCTCCAATTTTACTCAAACCAAATAGAACCTTGCTTTTGGGTTGCAATGTATTGAAAAGGCTAAGGAAAACCTTCAAACGTTGATACATGCTTAAAAAAAAACACCCCATATTACGTCCATCAGCTTCATGGGCACAAGTTGAATGTAACGTACCTCATCCATGGTTCCATTGAAGAAACTACGTTCATCTCTGCCGATGTATACTTGGGCACTGCTCACCTGTTGGGGAAAACGATTATGCTATAAATCTAATAAGCATACCGAAATCTTTTGGAATAGGCACAAGAAAATTGGGAAATTGTAATACAATTCCCCATACAAATCTGCATGCTGCTGACTATAAGGAGCTCGTATCTGGTAACTATATAGTGCATCAAATGGGTTCGTTTGAAAGATAATTCAGCTGGCAGTTTAGTCAAACCTTCCAAGTCTTATTCGGTAGAAACATAATGCGCCAAATGTCATACGTACCCAGCTAGGTGTTGCAACACTTGTTTTTGTGCTTTCAGCGATTCCGTTGACAAACAGAGTTAATTCACTGTCTAGAATAAGATCATGAAATCACAAAATGAATCCTGTAATATGGGACATCATTATAATTATTTAATCACTTGTCATAACATGCATTACGCGACGCCATTGGAAGGAACTCGTTTCTTTAAGCAATCAATGTTTGAATAACTGGATTTCAGTTGACACGATCTTAAAAGGTAGGAATTTTGTTTTAAAGGTTGAAACATTTTTCTTTTCAAATCAGATTGGTAATGTTATTAATGACATGCTATTTAGCTCAATGAATGGCTGCTATTGCCCCCCCAAAATAATAATAATGCTTAACATTACGTGAAACTCCCATTTGCCAAAACCCCTGAACTGTACCTACCGATTTCACTGTGACTCTTATCAGCTGTTATCAGTAAAGTAATTATAAGATAAACACTTACCCTGGCACCCACTTCCCCAGGGCCAATGACCATGAGCTGTGGTAATTGCCCTATCAATTACGGCATGCACATCTGGTAGCCGGGACTACTTGCAGTGTGTGTGCCTTGAAGAGCATGGCTGAAGTCGGACTGTTTCTTATTTGATATCTCGAGATATATTTGATCGATTTTTATGATTCAAAGTTGCTCACATAATAACTTTTGACACTTTTCCAAATACTTTACATTATAAACAAGAACCTAGTAGACTTTGGTAGATATTTTTTGTCAGTAAGCTCACAGGCAGAGGCACCATACACCACCTGTTCACGGCTCGTTAACTCTTGATCAGATAAGAGAGATCGCGTTGAAAGCTGCTTAATCTGAAATCGGTAGGTACGACCCGAGTTTGTCATAGGCAAACTCGGGTCTAGCTCAAATGGGAGATTTACGTAATGAAATGTGCAAAATCTGGTGATATAATTCTTCAATCGATTTTTAAAAATTCGTCTCCTCCTTTTAGCTGGTCACGATGTAAAGTGTGTAAACATGATACAGTAAAAATATTTCCGTATTCTTGAGACAGAACGCATGCAGTGCACTTACTCTGAGCATCAAATCTCATTGCAAGGTGTTTCCATGTAGAATCAGGCAGAACAGTAGTACCAACCACAACTCGGTCACCTACCCGGCCCTTCACATACCTGCATCAAACAATCACATTTCAGTTCGAGCTGAACACAAACAATTCGGGCGATTTACAATGCAGTGCGCCACCAAGAGTTTGCCATGGAGAGTCCATTTTTCAAGTTTACAGTCGACAAAACACAGCCCATTTTAACTTGAGCTAATTTTGTTATAGATTGAGGCATATCGTTCTGCCGCCTTACAAAAAATTGGATATAAAAGAAATGAAGAGGTCAAACATGTACTCGAATTATACGCTTACGAAACTAATGATCAGAAAAACTAACAATTTCAAATGTCCCGCGCTCCCACAATGTCGACCATCTCCCACAATGCACTGGGAAAAAAATTAACTCTCCGCGGCAAACTCTTGGTGGCGCACTGCATTGTGAATCGCCCAAATTGCAGAAGATGTTCTAAAATGTTCATAAACTAATACAATGATTTGAAAAACTTAACACTAACACACTGAAATTTTGGAGGACTCACCCGTTTTCAATGAACAAGCACAATATTCCATTCAAAGTGCATAAGACAGGCATGGTAGTTGAGGGATAACTTGTAGGGAGATGCACCCATGTTTCTAGGGTGAAACTTGAAGTAAGTTGCAAAGTGTCTAAGGTTGGAAGGATGACGTGATCGTCGATACCGTCAAATGCCAGCGCTTGATTGAGCCTGAGTCGAAGAGAACAAACTACAGTTAATTATTCTTCAAAGTGTCAAAGCTGGGTAGGGTAATTATGGTGGCGTACATGTACTTATGTCTGTTCAGCACCAGCCAATCCAAATGCCTCCAAGTCACACGCTATTCAAATTAAGCATGACAGAGGCACTCTTTTGCTACTGTTAATCCCCGTGGTAATGTGGAATGACCACTGTGATGAACTATAGACCTCAAACAATGATTTATTTGACCATTAGTTCTACATGACCCGATCCTTACCTTTCTGCACACTTGTAGCTCATTCTTGACCATATGACATCCTTCTGATCGTAGACAAACACCCCAAGCCGTCCACCCAAGAAGCTGGTGTCATAGATGTCCCCGGAATCAGTTAGAGTCTCTTCTCCTACCTTGATGACAACCCTGCAACGGAGTGCAACGAAAACAGGTAAAAAGATTATACAATTCCTTCAACTTAAAGGAAATATACAACATTTGCAAACATTAAAAACCCTACCAAATTATTATGAAGTACCTTACTTGGCTGCAAGTGAATAATAGTTTCGTGCATCCTGTGAAATCTTGGCACTTGTGCTGTCATTTTTAAGAAATGTGTCATTTTTTTTTATCAATTTCCAACGATGATCGGCTGGCCATCGATGGTAAAAAAACCCTCTTTTTTTTTGGCTTCAAATACTGCCCCTACTTTACCAAATTTAGTTAGTCCACATTTTGCTTAACGGGTGCAAGCAAGCTAGTTTGGTTCCCTGACCTGACAATTCCCCTACGTCTATAAATTGCTCCGTTTCGTCTGAAGTAGGGTTAGGGAACCAGACTACAAGAACAACATTTTTTTCTTAGTTTTTCCAGCATTTATGAACGCAAATTTTAAACAGGGCAGTGTAACAATATTTGCTATAAAACAGTCACCCACAAATCCATCTATTTCTGAACCTTACAGCAAAAGCAAATGTTGTATGTTACCTTTTGTAATTTGTATTATGTGGGAATAAGGGGTTGCTAGCCAGTTTACGTTGCATGGATGAGTGTAACATTGGGAATTTGGACAATTATATTTAACATTTGTAGAAATTAAAATGGCTAGGGTAGCCTCTATTCGGATACAGTAGGTGTACTCTTAATGAGTCCACCAAAACTGTTTTATTTACGCAGTCATTTGCATTCTGAGTTATGTCATTGATCTGAACCGCATTCAGCTATCAGCTGACCTTATCTAAAAGCCAAGGCTTATAAGTCACGACTGGAGAAGAAAAAGATCTGCTCCTTACCTGATTAGCCCAATATCTGGCCTGTGTGTCAGAAACCACTTGTATGAAGTCCTGTGCTGCCACCCCTGCAAAAATGGATCTTGCCACAGCAACTCAACCTGATTGGCTGTGGTAAACGAGTGGTAGAGAGCATTTGCCAGTGATTGGCCAGGCCCGGTGGCAGAGTTCACTTTCTGCAGTGAAAATGGGAGAAAAGCATTAACAAACAGATGTCCCTTCAAATCTTCAAATAGGTCATTCTGTAAAGAGAGAATGATAAATCCCTGATTCTTTAACCCTAAAAGGGCCGGGCTATTTTGATCATCTCTCAGCCTAAGATCTCGGCCATCAAGTGACGAACATTTTTGACCTGGTACATGCATAGAACAACTTATCATGAACATACCCAAGACATTGTGTGACTATAGGTCAAAGGGTTTTGGAATTATGGCTAATTAATTATTCATATGCATGAATGGTAATTCTGCTCGGTGTACACTACGTATACGGGGAAATTCGGTTCTGAAATGTTTTTGTCTGATTTTTATGTTTTTGGTATTTAAAGATGCGCAAGGCTCGAGGTAAAAAAGTCAGAACAGCTCGGGTCGCGAATTTTTTTTTTTAAAGCTATCGCGGAAGAAGTTGAGGGGGGGGGGGCCCGCCCCTTTAGGGTGAAGGCTTACCCATCATGGAAGTATCATACAAATTTGACAGTATCATTGCAGTGTTTCAAAGAATAATTCAATTGTAAACTCCTTACTGACCTTAATCTGTATGCCCCTAATTCCAGCCATGTTCACAGGGTTGTTCATATTCTCATGTCTCCACATCACGACGTAAAATTTCCGGTTGCTCTGGTAGCCGAAGACAAAACCGATGTAATTGTTTCCCTCGTCCGTGTTGACAAACATGGTGCCGGTGTAATCCACTGCGGCTATTGATGCCTGGCCAATCAGCATCGATGGCATGATAGTGTTACTAATGTCACGGATCTCCTTCCCCTATGCACAAAACAACACAGTTAATTAAGTGCTTTTAAGGTTGTGGATGGTGGAGAATACAGGGTGAGTCCAAAAAACAAAAAAAACAAAAACAAACCAAACCAAAATGTCAGGACTATTGTTTTAGTGAAGTTCTGCATGTAGCACTTTCAAAATCTAGGATATGAAAGCCCAATTCATAAACTTTGTGTAATACAAGAATCATTCAAATCACTTATGTTCTTTTCAAGTTGCGGAATTTGGAACACAACCACCGTTTTAAGGTTCTGTCCACGGATTACCAAAAAGTTCAGTGTTCTTTCAGCAAAACGAAAACAAATCACATAGGGATATGTGTAAATTGTTTTCGTTTTGCTGAAAGAATGCACACTTTTTTTGTGATCCGTGGACAGAACTTTAAAACGGTGGTTGTGTTTAAAATTTCGTAACTTAAAAAGTACATAAGTGATTTGAATGAGTAGTTTGTTGAACTACGGAACCAAGGTCAAAGTGTTTTTAGCGTGTGTTATTTGCTAGCACTTTTCTTCAAAATGGTACAATGGATATACATGAAACATTCACCAAATATGTCCAAAATACCAGTCTATTATATATCTTATTTGCACTTGTTTTGATAATTGCTACATATTTTAATATTTTGTTTAATTTTGGTCCAGATCATTTTGACTTACCCTGTGGGCATATCAAAATTGTAAGCGGGGCTGACATTTCGGCGAAAAAAATTGAAGAATTCATTAAACTGACCTAAATGGCACCAAAGGCCACGTGCAAGTACAAACCATAGAAACCCCTGTAAAGGCATGTCAACAATAAGTCAACATCTATGATCTAGGTCATTAATATCAGGGATTTAAAGTGACAAATTATTCCAAAATGCTACAGTTGACTCTAAAAAATTACTTGAGATTGAGTTTGTGTCTTTGACTTACATTGTCAGTCACTATCCAGACTGGGCTGGTCCCGTTAATTAGATCAGGGTATAGATCCACTGAGATGAAACCTCTAGAGAAATCAGTTGTTTGGTAGCGGTTGCTGTTGGGACAGATATCTTCGCTATTCATTGTGCCGTCGCCATCATAGTCAGTCTCACAAACATCTCCTAGATTATTACCTAAAATAAAAAGCATATGAAACACATGCAGTTGCAATCACTATATAGCACCTCTAATGTTCGGGGTCGAGTCCCATTCGGATCAATATGTGGAGCATGTCAAAGCCAGGCACTTAGGCCTACTGGCTGAAAATAAATGTTTGGTTTTTGTATTGGGACTAAATGCCTGTGGGCAATAGTGATTAGGTTCGCTCTTGTTAGTTCCAGTCATCATGTTTTGTATTGTGTTTTCTGTCGTTATATTCTGTAACACGTACGTGCAGCTCTCAATGGGCTAGAACTGGTCTTAAGAAACTGAATTCTTTAAATAAGAAATGTAAACATTTTACCGTTTGTGTCTTCCTGCCCACTGTTTGCAACGTAAGGACAATTGTCATTGTCATCTGAGATGCCATCGCCATCTTTGTCACCGTCACACAGATCGCCTAATAAACCACATTTCAAAGCATCAGTAAAGTTAGAGCACTTCAATCATTTTACAGTTTTGAAACTCTTAATAATTGTTCAATTACAATATATTGAAACTTTTAAATCGAAATCGTTTTTGTAACACCGTCTTTTGATGAAAGTGGGGTGCGGTACCATCTTTAGTAAGATCTTTGAAATAAATAACTTTTCAGCTATCTGAAATTTTATGGTGCTACTTTTCACGACTCAGCCCAATGAAAAAAATAAATGTTAGCACAGGAAAGAGGTCACAGGCAAATATGTAATGTCAGGTTTATTTGTTAACAGGACCCGTACCTCTAAGGATTTTTGATTAGCATAGAAAGTGCAAAATTGAAGTATTTACTCACCGTCACCATCAACATCAGTGTCCGTCTGATCGGCATTGGAAATGATGATACAATTATCATCCAAATCTAGAACACCATCGCCATCCCTGAAATATAACAAGAAAATAGATCGATCTCTGGCATAGACGTTGAATGAATTCTCTCGGTAGTGGTAAAAAGTGATGTCGAAAGCTGTTGGTGAAAAACTGAAGAGTTAACATGTTAGGTACAGCAAATACTGCAAATTATCTATGTATACAAAGTGTAAGGAGTCGTACATGTCTTTATGGGTGCCTCCAATGACATCACATGCGTCACCATATCCATTTTGGTCCGTATCGATCTGTTCTGTATTGGTAATGTTTGGGCAGTTATCACATGCATCACCCACGCCATCTCCATCCATGTCCGTCTGAAGTGTGTTAGCAACAAACACACAGTTATCCGTATCATTAAACTCCCCTGTGAAAGAAAAAAAAATCAAAAATGACATATCACAATATGTCATCATGAATTTCCCTTCGAAATGTCGACACCTTATTCTCATCACTGGCTTTCTTCAGAGCCAACGTCACAAGCAGACTTGTCCGTGGTTTACCCGCAAACATACCTCCCTACTTATACCAATCCACCATGCAAAGATTCAAACACCACGTATCAGAATTTCCCTGTAGTTATTCATTTGGAATAGCAACCCGGATTTAAATCATGTCACTTTCTCAACCCACAACTTTTTAAAGATTTATTGAAGTTGAAACAGGCAAACGTTCAGGGTTTTTGCTGAACTTCGGTGTATCGGAACTTAATAAGTTATGTTTACCGAGCGTAAATTCAGTATACATGTACATTTTACGTAAATTAAGGCATGACTATTCAAGCCTCCGCCGTGTCCTGTTTACCCATGTACCAACACATATGAAAGTACAAACAGGCGCGAAACTTAGCAAAGCATAATACAATAACACTAATACCATAAGAACATGTATTAATGCTTCAAAGTACAATGGTCCCATGGTTAAGGCATACCATCGTCGTCCACATCAGGGTCACATATATCCCCTAGCCCATCAGCATCAGTGTCAGCTTGGTCTGTGTTGTTATCATTGTGGCAATTATCACATGCATCACCGATACCATCACCGTCTGTGTCTTCTTGCAAGTGATTGGCTACGTACTGGCAGTTATCCTTTGATGCAAAAGTGCGAAGGAAAAATGGTTTGAGATAGTGAACATAATGCAAAATATCTCACTCTGATGGGAAAACAATTATGGCATTTTTTTAACGGCTTTCCTAACCAATTTGTTGATGTAGGCCTACTTCATTATATGCCATTGTACCAAGAAGTAACGAGAAATTTAGAACAGCAATTTCCCAGGATTAATTACCACGAACAGCTACAGTTTTTACTTCACATCATAATATGTTTCTGATCTTGTTTTGACAACCAACTCTCATTTTGTTCACATTTATTCACCCAGTCAAGCAAAATGAGTCTCACCGAGAGCTAGGTTTGAGCTAATTAATACAGGCTGTGAATTAAATTAATTTGCGCAAAGGATCACAATGTGACAATAATTATTGCGATCAAAAGAACATTAGCTCTTAATATTATTGTATAACTGACCTTTTCATCCATGATACTATCATTGTCATCATCATCATCGCAGATGTCACCTATGTGATCATTATCTGTATCTTCCTGTCCACTGTTTGGATGCTGGGGACAGTTATCCTATAACAAAAGATAAATTTGATTCCCAGAATTATTACTAAACAGAGTGGAGCACTAGTATTTTCGGTTAAAACTAAAGATTTTACCATTTTAAATCTTACCCAAAGGCAGGGTTTTCAGCAATAGAGAAATTATTAAAGAATTGTCTAAAAGGCGAAAGATTGCCACAATCCTCCATATCCCTGAATCCTCAGATTGTAATACGATTTTGCACACCCCTAGGGAGTTAGGGTAGCATTATGGTGATGGGCCAAAGGTCAGAACAGACATCAAAGATGTGTCAAAGTTTGAGCACAATATTTCACTTACTGCTTTACATGATGGATCACTACAGTGAAGTGTTGTTTCTGGTCGGCCATCGAGATCTGTATCAACCCCACAATAGACTCCATTGCCTGCCCAACCATTGTTACACTGCCAAGAAAAACATCACAATTCTCGGGTGAAAGTTATTGTGGCCTTTCATATACATTGAAATCATGTATTGTATACGTAATTTGTATGTAATAATATTTATGTGAGCTGTAATTAGACAGTTAGAACAATATTTTTTTGGGTAATTTGACAATCCTCTGCAGTTTATGAGATATTATGAAACAGACGCTTGCATTTCTTTTGTCATGTCAGTTTTGCAACCCACCTCACAGACGTAAGTGCCAACTCCTGTAGAGAGACATGTCGCATTCCCATTGCAATCATCTTTGCCTGTCAGACAAAAATCACCCGGCGTGCAACCAATCTTACCGTCACCTAAGTAACCTGGCAGGCATAAACCGCAACTGTAACTTCCCTGAAATAAAGAAAAACAGAACAAAGTCAATGGCTTCAAAATAAAAACTTCATAGAAAAAGAAATGAATTTATCAGAGTTCCTGGAGTACTTGTATTAAAACAAAGCAGTGGAACATTTACTTCACGTGAAAGATAACCATTAATAACTGCCAATATCTGTCGTACCTCTGTGTTAGCACACTCAGCATTTGGATCACATCCACCGTTGTTGATAGCACATTCATCAATATCTTCACACACCTGATTCAAAAAAAGTTTGTCTCAATTACCGAATTGTTAAAATTTAATTTTATAATGCATTTAACACGGTCTTCATACATGACAACATTTGGCAGAAAGTTGGAAAAACAAGGATAGCTTTTTGGGGGTTAAAATTGTTACCTGTTTATTAGCTTGTGCATGTTCCACTCCGATACCATGAGGTGTATTGCCAGCATAGCCTGGCGGACATCCAGTACACTCATAGCCTGGAGACAAGTTGGTGCAGGAGGACCAGCAAGGGTTTGATATGTCACACTGCAGAATAAGAGAGGAGGGAATTACCACACTCAATTGGTTTAGAATTCATCTACTTCCAAAACTTTCAATTCTTGCATCATGATATTGGTATCCGATGTATAACTTGTCTGACCTCATTAATATCTGCACATCCGTCTCCATCCTTTGAGTAACCCGCTGGACACTCCCCACAGATATACTTTCCAGTTCCCTGATTAACACAAGGCACACCTTCAGGACAGGGGCTAAATTCGGTCATACAAGGACCTGCGGATGTACAAAATATACATTTGTATTAATTCAAAAATACTGTAGTTCTCAACGGATACAAAGCCAGACAGTGTAGCCTACTTTATGTACCAACACACCAAGTCACCTCGGCGTTATACCTATTTGTTGCTGACAGGCAAAACACAAACAAATTGTTTTACTCTTTTGTGTTACTGGTAACATGATCACATTTCAACTGATCGTCGTTGAGTTTTGGACAAGTAGATTTAGCTCTTAGTTTTATTTCCTGATTGGTCAGACAAGCTGTAATTAAAATAATTAAACACTTTAACTGATAATCAGAGACAAACCAGCGCCAATCACAGTGTGCAACGTTTTGATGAAAGACTGAAGTATATTCTTGATTAAAAAATACTTACATTCGGCTTGACTTGAGCATGACTTGCATGGTGTCCCGTCTCCTGCAGACCACGCAGTGATATGACATGGTGCACATGAAATCTTGGCCTGTGTGCTCTGGTACCCGGCTGGGCAGTTCTCACAGACAGACTGGCCGGTGAAGTTGTTGAATGTGCCTGGCTTGCAAGGCCTACAGAACTCTGCGGCAAAAAATTACAAATTGACATTTCTATTGTACAGTTGTGCATAGCCACAGTCACGGGGGGATCCAGAACACAATTGGGGAGCCAAACAACTTTTGGTTCCCAATAGGTGGGTCAAAATAATTTACGGCGTGGAGTTCGGGGCCCGGCCCGATTAAGGGCCCCGACAAAATTGGATTCTAGATGCTCTTATTTTTTTTTTTTTGGGGGGGGGGGGCATGGCCCCCTTTGCCTCCCCCGCATCCCCCTTGGGCACAGTTAGTCCTTTAGAAATTTGAAGAGAGTATCGTAAACAAAGTCTTATCATGAAACTGAGGTGAATTGGTGTGACCAAGCATATCATCATTCTGTGGTATTTTGTGACTAAGTTAAAAAAAAAAAAAAGTTTCATAATTGGAGAACGAATTTTTCATATTATTGTTTCAAATTGTTTTAAATCCATTATTTGGGCTCACCTGAGTCATATCCTTGTGAGAAGTAACCCTGCGGGCAGATAGATTGTATTCCTCTGAAGCAAGCCGTGCCCGGGTCACACAGGTCACAAGACTCTGGGCAAAACTGAGAACCGAAAACTTATTAAAGAGGCATTTCCAAAAAGATTTACGGGATAATACTATACACGAGAGCTAATGTGTGCTGCCTCGGGGGTTTAAATGAATCCACACTTGGCTTCAAATTGGCAATTAACGGTCAAATATAAAGCAGATGGACTGGATAATTTATAATATTGTGTTACATTGCCAGCATGCACTTCTCCTGAACACGCTAAGATGATTTAGGTAGCTTAGGTAGTTACTAACTCAAATACTGAACTATCATATCCCCAAAAAGAAGATCCTTTCATGGTGCTGAAACAAACTTTCAATACATCTGTCTTCCTGCGGGCATAGTTTTGAATTCCATACTCATTTCCTCACCGTCTCATTACAGCGGCCATGATGGTACTTGGGACATGGTGTAGCATAACCATCTTCACACAGCTACAAGGAAACAAACATTTGCGTATAAATAAGATTAAAAGCCTGTAATAATTCCCGTAATTACCATTAACTATTGCATTTCCCCCATTCAACCAAAAAAGCAAAGAAGTTCACATAACAATAAATGCAATAAGCAATTCATGAATTAGTTGATGGTTAAGGCTTTTAACGGTTGCATCTAGTATGTGGAGCGACGTATCTAGTGTTCCTAATTCCTCCAAATGCCCATCTCACTCCGAATTAACTCTCATAGCAACTCGTTTTAAAGAAAAAGATGGGCGTGGCAAAAGGAATACTTAGCCCCCAAAGCCAGCCTTATAACTCGTACCTTTCCATCCTATTGGGAAGGGTACACACTCATAGGTGTGGCTAAAGGACGACCCCGCCCCAAACCCTGACTTATCTGCCATACCTACCCATCCTATTGGGCAGGGACACACCCATAGGTGTGACCCTAAGAAGGCCCCGCCCCAAACCGTGCCCTATGTCTAATACGTACCCATCCTATTGGGCAGGGCACACACTCATAGGCGTGTCCAAAGGAATGTTCTGACGGTGACCGGTTACATGAGTCTGTAGGAGGTTCACAGCGACCGCAGGGTCGCTGCAAACCGTCCCCTAGGCAGTAGTTGGTAGTCAGACAACGCTCACACTGGGTCAAGTCTACAAAGACATGCAATTGATTATTGTTTAACCACACATATAGGGTTATTCCATGTTAAACTTTACCTCGTCATTTTTATAATTCCCTTTAGATTTTCTTGACACCCTGCTGAATCCAGCAGAATCTAACAGTAAAGTATAATTTCCCCGCCATTTGAAGGAATCAAGTACAGTTGAATGGGCGAACTTTTGGAATTATTTCATTTAGTGTGGATAGGCTGACTAAGGTCGGGTATATGTCAGTGTTAAGTAATAATGTCCCAAGCTGATATATGCAAAAGGTAACAAATGGACTGAATATGTCTAGAAAGGCAGGGAATCTGGTGAGATAATAATTAGTAATGAATTAGTTGAGAGCTGTGATATTCTCCTAGGGCGGGTGTATGCATGTTTTATGTGCTGTGTTGCTATAATTAATTGATTATCATTGGTAGGTAAGTAATTGACATTCTACGATGACTTTTTTCTGGTTTGCTGTGGAAAATATGCTCATCAGGCATCAAGTTGGACAAGGTTTAATGGAATCACTGGGACTTACGTCGCAGTCGTCTCTCTGTCGTACAGCCGACAATCTCCAACCTCAACCCTATCTGATTGTGCCAGGACTGTGGCAGGATGCGGATATATTGAGCATAGACTTCATCAAAATACACACTGGAGACGGTATCCTGATCTGTGTTACCAGTGAAAAGCTGAAAGAAATACGAAGTCAAATGCACTGATATACGATTACTACGATTACTAGAGTGACTGTATCTGACTTATATGACCTTATGCAGGAAGTAACTTATGAGATATATTGCGCTGCGTGGTCTGCTCATAAAAGACACTAAGGAACCTTTCACGTGATGCAATGTTCATGCGCACTGAATTGCAAGTTCAATGACAATGCAGAATTGAACTGGAAGAATGACGCCACTGGAATGAAGCAACAATTACGTGGACTTAGTTCAGATTTGCTCAGTCAAGAAATATGTTTTAAATGTTGCAACAGCAGAATTATACTAAAAACTATCTGTGAAATATTCTTTAGTGGTCCAAGATATTAATTATTAATATACATCATCATTGCTATATTCACCCTTTCGGTCTATCACTTGCCTAATACAGCTTTACAGCCTTTTACATTGCAGGTCCCTGTATCATTATTCTGTTACCTGATAATCCTTATCACGTTCCATATCCTATAGCATTGGAGTATGCTATATAGGTCACTTCAGCATTAATATTAATGTTATACCTGATCATTGCTATCTTCATCCTGTATCATGTACCAAGTACTGCTGTCATTAGAGTATTCTACATAATAAGTTTTAATCCAGGCTTCTACATCTCCAACACCCTGAGTCCTGACTCCAGAGAAGATGGTCACTAATCTCATGTCCACCTGTAGCCATTGGTTTGTGTCTGCAGTCTCCGCTATCCATCCTACATATTGTGAGAATAGATTAAGAAAATGTTGGTTTTGATGTTTCATCTGATTGGCACACATTGTCTTGTAATGTTCTTGATTGACTGTTTATTGTATACCGCACTCGAGCATGCCCTTGCCCATGCATATGCTAATATTGTACATATTAGAGTCTGCATAATCGTAGTCAAGTTTTCACTTATCCTCGCAAGTAAATCACGTCATTCAATCACAAACCAAGTCATGGCACAACTGTTACAAAGACATGTTCTTGTCATTGTTCACCCCAGTGACATTTTGACCTTTCTCCCACTTTGACCTGTCAGTTGACTTCAAATTGACTTGAACTGTCTGTTGATTTGTGATGGACTCTTAGTCTACTGTAACGTATATCAAGGTAAATCTGTCAGTTCCTGCAGACAATAAATACAAACTTTATAAAACAATACATTCTTTGCTAATTCATGGTAATGAATATTCAATTTGGTTATAGTCAGTGTCCATAATAGAGGCCTTCAACAAATATTTGAAACCCACCTGAACCCAGTTCACCATCTGCACTGGCGTTTGCGTGTAGTCTGGCTCTGTTTGCTGTATGTGCATTATCGTAATACGAGGATGCTGACATCATGCTGTCTTGAATGACGCCGGTTTGTATTCCAAGCGCATCTTTGCAATCTGTGTGGGGAAAACGACACACCTTTTTTAATAGCTGAAATAATTAGTCATTGAGAACGTAGACAGTTGATGTTTATGAGACCCAACTTGAGATCTAGACATGAGTTTTTGTGGCTAATTGCTATATACTATCTTCTCGAAAGATTCTCTTCTCTAATTGACAACGGTGAGTGACCACACGAATTGGTAGCATGCAGTATATATTATGTTGATGACAGCAAAAAACTCTACAAAATCTACAGCAAAGTACCATTATCTACAACATACCGTAAACATAGACGTAGTACTTTGGCACTCTCAGATACAGTCCACCGGTGGGCACATCGATGTAGATTTCGACATCTACTGGTTCCCCAATAGCATCATACAGACAAGTGTTGCTAATGGTTACGGTGATGTTGACGATTGCACCACGAGCTATTGTTCCACCGTCAATGGCCGTGATTGTCAGTTGAAGCACTGAGAACGTGTCGTTGATGAGAGGGCTGAAAATATAACCACGTAAAAGATTGATAACATATAAGCTAGTATAAGCTTATTTATACGCTCAGGTGTTTTTTTCATGGAAGTAGCATTCCCAAATATGGTTATTTAACTAAAACTACCAAAGTTAATTCAAATGAAGATCACCCAACAGAATATGGCATAAACACTGATTCAAGTACAGTTTAAACATAACAAAGATCTTTCCAATTTACGCATGACACCCAATACACTCACATTTGTGTGATTGGTGATGTGTGGTACGTGATCTGACTGTCCCCTCCGCTGTCAGCGTCAGTCGCTATTACTTCAGTCAGTGGATCTTCCTGGAGAACAGGCAGAGGGGTGAATACTAGACTGTTGTTGGATACCACGGGGCAGTTATCATTCACATCATTCACGGTTATCTGGGTAGAGAACAAAATCATATTCACACAAGTCATATTCACACAAAGCAACACACAAGTCGTCAAAATAGAGGTAAAATGCATTCCAACTAGGTTAAAGGTGTCTCATAATGATGGTAATGGTATCAGAACTACGGAAAATTTCGTTGGAAATAAATGATTTCTTTACATCCGCAAAACATTAAATGTACCTTTTTTGTTTTATTTGTTACAAGATTCCAACTAGTCACACATTGACAATAAAACCAAGAGCATGATCTTCAGGTCATTTATGTTGTGTCGTACATTAAAGGCAAGACAGATATGCATGATTAACGACCCTACACTCCAATAGGCATTTCTTAGTTAATGTTGTTCAACATTCGGACCCATAATTATAATGAATTGTTTGTCAAGGCCTCAATGTGAGACAAAGATGGGTTGGTCTCCAGTTCGCAAAAGGCTGGATTAAAACCTGGATCTTTATTTTAAACGTTTATGAAAATCCCCCTTTTCAACCCGATCCATTGGTAGTTAGAAAATGGTCAAACTTAGGCTTAAGGACTTCAATGGAATGCAAAATGGCATATTATATATTAGAGAGAATATTAGAGTTGTAATGGGGGTCAAAAGATTGTCAATGTTGCGTTAATTACCTCAACTGTCAGCGTGCCTTCGTATTGTGGGACAGCGTTCAGATCAATTACACTGAGTTTTAGGAAGTACCACGAAACAACCTCATAATCTAGTTCAGTAACCAACGTTATCAAGGCCTTGTCTGTATGGACGTCAAAGGATTGCATCGTCTCATCGTTTGGTTCTGGCACTGCAAAGTAATAAAAGGGCCGTGTCATCAATAAAGCTCAAACCTTGTTTCTAAATTCCTTTCCATATTTTTTTCCAAAAAGCCGGCAATATTTGAACGTGTTTCAGAACCCCTATATTTGAGTGGTATTTACCGATTTCTGCTTCAGAGTCGCAGGTAATGAAGTCTATACCATTCACAGTGTGGGTGAAAGGTGGTGAGTCTGCGGTGGGGGCTATTCCATCTGCTACACTTTTTGCTGTGTTGTTTTTAAGGGTAAAGTGTCTGGCTTCGTTGCCTGTTAAATAGAAAAGTAAAATACATTTGTTTCATTGAGTATTCGATTTTGATATGTACTTGTGATTTGACTTCTGTGTCGGGAATTTTTACTCATTTGACATACCGCTTGTGATGGTGACTTGGAAATTTGGACCAGTGGAGAAGGCATCAGCCACCCAGACAGATTCTAAGATGGCGTTCAGGTGTAGATCCTCATCCACTGTGACAACATAGTCAACAGGAGGGTTGTCTGGGTCTAACGGAAGGAAGTCAACGCCTTGAATCTCTAGGAAGAACTCTGAGGAACAAGGGTTGCGCTCGGTGTGGAAGATGTCAAAGTGGTAGGGCACACCGACCTGCAAGGGAGTAAAGCAAAGAGTTAGGGTTGTCAACAGGAGGGTTGTAAACGAGAGGGTTGTCGGGGTCTAACAGAAGAAAGTCAATGTCTTGAATATCTAGTAAGAACTCTGAAGAACAAGGGTCACGCTTAGTGTGGAAAATATCAAGTTGTAGGACACACTGACCTGCAAGTAAGTAAATAAAGCAAGGGCTTGAATTCTTTATTTGCTGAAACCTTTTATCGTAAGCATGGTCAGTAAAACAATTAAACAACATGCCAAACGCTTACATAGAATAAGCCTATAATTTGTCAGATAGATACTCAAATAATACCTCTTACCTCAAGGTCAAGAAATACTTGTTCATCAAGAACTGGGTCGGTGATTTCACATTCTCCTTCAACAATTGTACCTTCCTCTGGTGTTAAGAAGCTCCCACCTAAGGAAAAAAATTATGGCGGAATGAATATTAGCCTTTTCGTGAGCAGATGCAGCTAATTAGTTCGGCATCATGCACAAAAAAGCTTCCTTACAACTGTCGACACATATCAATCGCCTCCTTTTATTTTCCGCTCATGTGGAGCAGGTCTTGTTACTATACTACCTTTGCAATGGTTGGCCCTTTTGATCAACGATTCCCTAAAAAAAATCAGACTCTTATTTTGTCTTGACAAAATGTTAGGCCACCTTTTCCTGTCCCTGAAGGATCTGACAAGCTGTAAAAAAAGGGTTGTTTCTGCCCATCAGCGCTCATTATTAAGCGATGATAATTTCCAACTACCTTGATAAACTTGCTCAGATTGATAACGTGTATTTTGTGAGAATATTTTGAAAGGCATGAAGCGAACAGATCATACCTTTATTGCCAGCCGATGCCAGCGTAATTCTTTTACACCTGACTGGATTTCCTGACGCGTCACCATGGACTTCCAAGACCAGAATCTTATTGACATACACCCAGAATTCATCTCCTCCGCCGACCGTTATCACCTCCGTACTATTGAACAGGATTCCAGTTCGGATAGCACTTGTGAAACTTTCACGGGAAAACAAAATTACGGGGTTTTATTGCTTTTTCAGACTTGTTTTGAGAAGAAAGCAATAAGCTTTGTCCGTTTGTTATTTCCTGATGTAAAAGTAACAATAACAACCTACACACTTACTTTTTTTGGTTAAGTTTTGATATTTATTTTCTTCATTTATGCATTACAAAAGTCATGTATTTGCTTTCCCAATTGAATCTTATCCCAATAAATGCAAATTTCCCTTTCTTTTACTTTGCTTTCTGCACACTATAGCAGTCATTCATACACATTTATGGCAAACGAGGGTACAAGCGTTTTCGTAAAGTCCAGCACGTGGCCTTTCCCGTGCAATTCTGATTTAGTTTCTACTGGCTGATTAAGTCGCCTTTTTAATGCAATGTATTACTATAGTGTATTGTTAGAAACAAGTGTAACATAGGATTCCTATGTTATACATGGATTTTGTATTTAATATGTCAAGTTGTAAAACTCTTTTACCCAAAGTTATGAAGAATGAAGCTACAGTCTCTTTGTCCCTCTGCAGTGAAGCCAAGTCCATCTACTGGATAGAAAGACTCCAACCAAACCCTTAATATAGCACCAAAGAAATCCAATAAAAACAATTAGAGTTTGACTACATGTACTATGAGTTAGCCAAGATTGGTTTTAACATGCAGGCCATTTAATGTACTAGTGAGATACATCAAGTGTTTTCATTGTTTTTTTTATTTGGCTTTCGATCAGTTTAACCATTAGCCCTTATATAATATTGTACATGTATATAACATTGTATTTATTACCATACCAATCACCCACCTATTGATGGGACTGACCACACCTGATGAGTTAAGCCACTTTAATACCAGCTCCGACTCAATCACATAGTTAACGCCTGGATTGTTACGAAACCATCGTGAGAAGGAATCGCTGGAGGGGTTATTAGAGATAGCTAACCAAGCACCGTAGGGTGAGACGACGTAACTTGGACGATTAACGACGTCTTTACCCACAGGGTTGAAGTCAGAATTTGCAGAACTGTTAAAGAAAAATATATACTTAGCCTATTATTAATAGTAGGATGACTGCTAACGTACTGTTACAAGTCTTCGAAATCTCTCTTTAGTGAATGTAGCTAGATTATTTTGTCAAACACTTCAAGGGTCCGTATGCGTTGCAATTATCTTAGCGAGTAATCAATGTTAATTAATGCAATAACAATTAATCAACAAATGTGTTAATCATGCCAATGCTGTCGTTACACAACCACTGTCCTCTAACTCAGCGTTAACGCACGAGGTATATACATCATTAATGAGAATTGATGATGTGTCTTAAGGTTAAAGATTATTCATTAAAGAGAATTAAATGGTGAATAAAACGTTGGAAAGTTGTAAAAAGGGTACTTTTTATGTTGCCTGATTTACAGTGATTTTTGAGAACCCTTTATAAGAACCTTTTATAAGTTAGCAATTTCCACAGAAGTACTAGGCCTACATTGGTTCCTGAAGGGCACAAATCAGAAGCAATTATCATGCAGCCATAGATCGTACCCAATGTGAGATGCTAGTAACATTAGCAATGAAGCAAGCATGGGAAATGAATTCACATAATAAAAGCAAACTATTAAAACTGCATTAATATACTTAAACATCGGGTCTTTTTAAAGACTGACAAGTGCAGATTCACGAGTGATATTCCCATACCTGAAATCATAGTAAGTGATGGCCAATTTGATGTCCTGTGCAGTAGAAACAGTTGAATTTGTTTGAGCTGATGGTTAAAAAAAACATAATTAATCAATTAAGTGAACCTCTGTGCTTTTCTGAAAGTTGAAAAGTTTAATTGGCAAGGTCTCGAACCTTTGAATCCTTGAACACATGATCTGGTACTGGTATCTTACTGCATTCACCAAGGTGGTAGTGATAGTCCCTCCTGCTTTCAATAATTTCCTCAAACGATAACAAAATTGGCTGACGTTTTTCAGAAAAATTAAGAACAAACAAGTGCAGTGCCTCCACCTTCAACTGTATTGGTCTATACACACCGACGTTTTCCAATGTAGTGACTGGGACATATTCGTCGGGTGCACCGGTGTAGTTGCCCACAGTCAGTGTCACGTGACATATATAATCAGTGCCGGTTGCCACGCCATCATCAGCAGTAAAAAGATGGCCAATAGATGTTGTGTTGTAGTACAGTCTAGTTGCTGTGATGCTGGTACATGTCACGCCAAATATCCTAAACAGAAACGAAGATCAATGGCAGAGGCTTCAGACTGATTACTGGCAACCTGATGGCCAATAGTAGCCAAGAGGTTGGCTAGGAATACGGTCGCTAAGCAACGGTTAACCTACTGTATGAACTATCTGCATGTGCTACGAATTACAACGTTTATTCTATAAGTTGGAAAAGATACGAAGCAATTTGGTGACTATGTGTTATTTCGCACGCGCTTTTTCAGAAATAACTTCATCATCAGAACTTGTAAGTACGCCATACCATTCATCTGTGATATCTACACTGCTGGGATACACTTCAAATGGTGCTGTCCAGTTGACTAGGATCTGGTGAAGTTCAGGGGTGATCGCTGTCACATCGTATGGGGCTGAGGGGAAACATCACAATTAACATATTAATAACAAAACGTTCCAAATTAGATTGTATACACACACTTTGACATGGGTAGGATTTCAGCCTAAGACCTCCGGGACAATATTCAAGTGATCCTAAAGTTCAGATATTGAGCCCTCGTGTTGCTGGACTGACAATCGTTATTTTATTAACGAAAAGAAAAGAAGAACTGAGCCTTTTATCTTTTCATAAATGTTCAGGATCTCATTTTATCATAATTGTAACATTTTATGATTTGGGTATAGATTAAATTGTAAAGATGTCAAGAGTTCAGGTGCAAAGAAGATAAGATCCATTTCATACCTTCTGACGAAATCAGCTTTAAGGATCCATTACCATACTACTGCGTAAAAGTGGATATTCTAGAGGGCAGTATTGACAGTAAGTCTTACAAATCTGATTTGAAATTTTGCTGAATGGTTTTCATTAAATTAATTCTATTGTTTTTTATTCTCCGCTATTGTAGAATTGGCTAAATCAGATTTTTTTCCACCGGAACCTATCATAAAATAGTCTGTAAGAAGGCAAACAAAGTCAGAACACTTTGGACCTACCACACTGGAACAGCCATGGTGCGACATTCTCAAAGTACATATCAGAATTTTTGCTGTAGTATGAGAATAGGACTCCATCTGCCTCCTCCGGTGTCGTACATTCACCGCCGATGGTGGAAGAATTGTCGAAACTCAGGGAGTAGTACAAGTTACAGGTGCAACCCAACGGGTTATCAGCAAGATTCCTATGAACAGGTGTTAGATGACAATTATAAATTAGCTATAAACCGTTGGTGATTTTCCAAAAATACTGACTGAATTATTATCAAAATAATCAATATGCATCTGATCAAAACTTGTTTGACATCTCACACTTCACAATCTACATAAATCTACCTTGTGTTACACAGACTGCGTTTTCTTTTCATAATACGTAAAGAGCCAATAATTATGAAGTTGTAATCATAAACCATTTTGTACAACTTACAGTGAACTAAATACATCGGCATCAAGAGCGGCAAATGCGTTCTGTCCAACTGTCTGAATCTCATTGTGTGACAAGTCTCTGGAACAGATCAGAATTAATCACTGAGTAAACATTGCCCTATGAAATTCAGTGTTCAAACAACGAAACAGGTATTAACAATTCTTTTAAAAAAAAATTGTGTTTCTATATCATTGATTCTAATACTTCACTATATATGACTTGTAATCTGCACCCATTAGATCAAGCATAATAAGTCAGTGATTATAAATAGTGACAAACTACAATTCCCAAATCCAGCCAGATCTTTTCTTGGTTTAGGAAAACACATGGTAAATGAAACAACGGATAAATGTATGCGCTTCTCCGGTTAAGTAGTTGGGCTAGGTCTTACCTTCCGTATGTAAACATGATAATGATTGGCCACTGCGTTATTTGCCATAACCTTCGAAGACAGAAATGTGTACACAAATGACTTAGCCCCTAGGGTAGGGACGTTGAGTGTTGAAGCAAGAATTTCAAAAGTCTATTACTTACAGCTGCTCCAGACTTGGAAGGCTGGGCATAGTTGGCCAATGAGTGAAGTCGTTATTGGAAAGATCTCTGGAGAGCAGAAAAACAATAAAAATACTATAACATCCCTTTTCCTAAAACAATGAGACTGGAGTTAGACGCCGGGGCCAAAGTACAGGGTGATTGTTAACGATATATTCTAAAACGTCAGTCTTTAGAAAAGAAATTAGTATCACCATTGTGGCGTTGTGTTTGATGCTGAACAATTAATATTGCAAATTTGCAAAATATATTTCTTCGAAGAAAGAGGTTTCTGCCTAAAAAGTCTTTCTGTCATGATGAATCAATGCTCTTGTGTTGTGTAACTGTTTACTAAGCAGTGATATTAAACCAAGCCTAAGACTATGTGGTTGAACACATTTACTAAGCAGTGATATTAAACCAAGCCTTGGACTATGTGGTTGAACACATTTATTTAAAAACAATCACTTCGAGGCACACATGCGAAACCACATCTTGAAATATCAAGCAAAAGCAACATCTTAAATGTGAATTGAAAAATGCGAAAATGAAGTCATAACAAATGTATGAGATGATCTTACAAAAATAGGCAGATTATTTACCTGTAATCTGCGAATTATGCACTGTCTGCCGTTAGTGCTGCCTACATTTTTTTAATGGAACCAACAGACGTTTCATGTTTTTAAATGAACATCATGATTTGATTTTACCTTTTCTGTGGGCTTGTCAGATCAGCAAATGTATCTTCAGAAATGACAATCTTCAGTGCAATATGGCATGAATATGAATGAACAAAAAACAAGGAATGAAATGCGAAGCAAAGACAGTTTTCAGACTGTTAAGACCACGCTTTGAAACCAGACTTTGTAATGAAAATGGTAAACAGCAGACAAAATGAAAACAGTTTTGTTGGCATGGTGTTGATCATTATAGTAAAACAAGGTGAAACAGCAAGCCAAAACTGTACACAACTCAATTGAACATCAATAGTACACGTGCAGTCTACAACGTGTTGTTTTATGTACTAAGCATTATATGTCATATTTGTTTCTCATTTTGGATGTTAGTTCGAGTTAATATAACGTACTATTAAGCATGCACATCATTACTCCCTCCCCTTCCCAAAAATTATGTACACAGAGAATGTACGGGACACCTTTCTGCAATTGGAATTTGACAAAGCTGGCAATGTTTAACACACGCGTCAGTATGAAGCTTGTTAGCAGTTCATTCTTTCATTTTTGCAGCGTTTTGTAGCTGTTTAAAGCACATTTCAACTATTTTGCCCAAACTGCCACCACGCTCAAACCGTTTGAGCTCACCAGCTAACTTGAGTGGTCCATCTTGTCAAGTGGTCCGTTTATAATTCATTTGCAAAATCGAAGCCGTCAACATGATGTCTTTATCCCTTCAACAGTCCTTGAGTAAATTACAACATTTGACATATTTGATCACTTTCCTTTTTATTTTTCTGAGATATTCTTGTGAGGAGTTTTAACTTTGGTCTACGTTTTACAGAGTAAAATACCTTCTCTACCACTACCATGACTAATAATAACAGGTTCTTATATTAACTAAGATCAAAGCGCTTTACATTACTATTACCCCTAATCATTGGGCCAATTAAACATTCCATATACCATCTCAGCTCCCTGGGAGGTGAGACTTACAGTCTGACTACTTGGCGCTGTGCTATCAGTGCAAAATCTGGTGGACTAATGTGTTTTATGATGAATAACGGAATATTTGTGCTCAGTGCAAATGTGTTGAGGCAACCCTAGAATAACTTGGGGCAGCTACCTGGGCGGTTTAAGGAGCAAATTGCTGAGCCCAGTCTACTGATTCGGTATTAAACTTTAATTCATTGTCATCTCCTTCGAAAACCAATTTATAATTCAAGTGGTAAAACAACATATTTGATATGGCTCTTGTTTTCAAAACGTCTTTACTTTGTTATTGTGGTCAAACATTTTAAGATATTCGCACATTCGACTAGTACAAATTATATCCCGGCAGGGGAAAAACGAGGTGAGACTTACAGTCTGCTTAGGTTGGTTAACGGTGCCAGGATACCAGTTCGAATCTCACTCAGTCTGTTGTTCTTCAAATCTCTGTATAACAATGGGTGGATCAAACGCGTCAGTCATAGCACACTGTACGACCAATAGAGGCTACCAACATGGCTATAGCTAACTGTAAACTTGTCATAATTAAACAATGTAAGATCTGAATGCTACATTTTATAAATATTTCAGAGGCTTTGCTTACAGTACTTCCATGTTGTCCTGTCCTGCAAAGGCATCGTCTGGAAGCGTTCCAATTTGGTTACCATTCAGATGAATTTCATTTACATTCTGACCGGACAAAGCCTTGGCTGGATAAGTAATCAGCGTGTTGTTTTCCAATCGTCTGTAGAATTATCGATATTGACAAAGAAAGCACAACATTACATTAGTGAGAAACTATGAAGTCTAATACGTGGGGATTTGTTGACAAAATGACTTTGATAAACTCACATTGTTGTAATGGTTGCCCCGTCAAATGTGTCGCCTGGAAGCGATGGTATCTCGTTGTCATGTAAAAACCTGAAACGAAACACAGAATTTGCTTTTATTCTGTCCATGATTCAGTTACGCAAATAATTACGTTTTAACAAGGAGATTTTAATACAAAGTCTGTTACATTAATTGTTAACCCTAACAGTCCTGAATCCTCCAATTTTAATACGATTTTGCACACCCCCTAGGGAGTTAGGGTTAAGTTTGAGGATCGTTTTAAAATAACGTTTTAACTTTTCATCACAATTTGAAACATTTTTAAGACCAGCGCTAGGTCTTTGCGATGCTCTCAAATAATTTATTGTGATATTCATTTGACTTTTGATTGACTTGTTAAACCTGTCAGTGAAAATAATTACCCACTGTTACCCCAAAGGACATTGATATCAAACCATTATACATGAATACCCACGATTTTCAACTTCCCAACTGCATGAACTGTGTGAAAAGTTTGTGCAATACAATGTGCAGCACTGGTGAAACACATTTCACTATATCAAAATATACGTAAGGCACGACAAATTTCCATAAAGGTTCGGACACTTACAGATTTTCTATCGTTGTTCCATCCACAAACATCTTGCCTTTGACGTCAAAGATCTGGTTCTTCTGCAAATTACTAAGTGAGGACAAAATAACGAAATAGCGTACGTCCAAGCTTATACTTCCTTTTGAAATGTTTTGATTTCTGAAAGTAGTAGCAAATCACCGACCGTTTTCACCCCACAACAAAAGAATATTAAAACACATTATATATGTTTTGAATTTTAGTTTTCACTTCAAGTAGAATATAAGTTGACAATTTACACTAGAGAACTTACAAATCCTCAAGGATGTTAACATAGAATGCTTCTTCCTCGATGACTCTCACTGAATTTGATTCCATGTGGCTGTGTATAGGCACAAAGACAAATGAATATGTTTATCACTCATAAGATCTAAATAATTCAGTTCAATTCTACATAATGACATTTTCTAAATCAAATTATTATGAAATTACTTTTGAAATTTGACATGCTTTTGAAAAGGTTGCCATAACATAGACAATCTAATCTGAGAATAATCGAAAGCCTTAGGATTGTGAATTATTAAGATTCCTATTCACCAAAAAAACGAAAGTGAAGTTACTCACAAATAATCGGCTGTTATCCCGTTAAATGCAAAAGATGGTACAGTAGCCACACCAACTGAGAGCATATAGCTGTCAATAAAACATTCATTTTGATAAGTATTCATGAAGACAGAGGATGAGTATAATCTTACTTCAATTCGACTCTTTCACTTCAATCGGTCCATGATATTTACAAAGTCGTATTTCGTGTCAATCAGAGGCCACACACAAGTAATTTCACACACAAGGGCACGTTTAGGGGATGCAACAGTGACAAATGAAAAAGCCTTGTCACATTTTACAAAAGCTGCCTGTACTGGATGACTTGTGATAACGTGTGACGTGGTTGATTAAAGCTCTGGCGGAAAACATCAGCACTTTTCCCTGTAAGTAATTTAATGGAAACTTTGACTTTCCATTCACAGTATTAAATGCACAGTTATGATCTAATGTTTAGCGTTCAAACAATTAGTACCACCATAGTTTGCATGTAATAACTCAAGAATCACAGTGCTCATGTGGATCAACTTGGTTCATTGCAAATATTTAGATATTAAGATGATTCCTATTAAAACAGAATACTTACAAGTATTTGCAGGTGACATCATTGAAGGAATACGAGCTCATGGTTTGCAGAGGGTTGTTATCCAATTTCAAATATCTTTTTAAAAGAATAAAATGTATGTCTTTCATATATTTTCTGTTCTACGAATTGTTGTTGTCCTATACGAATTTAGAACATTTATCCATTCCTGCTAATTGAAGGAAGGTTAACTTACACCAACCATCATGTTTCTCCAACTTGTTTTACCAAGCATACTTAGTATGAAATGTGCAAATATTAGCATGAATTTGTTAAATATGTAACTTTCCCAGGGCGAAATGTTGGGCCTCAATAGAAATATTATGGGTCAAGTTATGCTAGAACATTTGCAACTCTACTTACAAGTAAATGTTTGTTGTCGTGTATAGTACGTTTTGGACAGAATGGCTTAAAAATGTTGAAACTATGATAACAGACATCAGTCACCATAAGAACAAGCTGCTCTAAAGTACACCGAAGGACACAACCAAAGAGAAGAGACACTTTGAAAATGTATGATTGTTACTATGTTAAGAATACTCACGAGGTAGTTAGTCCCGACAACACGATATTGTCAAAAGCGTTAGGTTCAACATGTGCAATGTCGTTGTCACTTAGGTCTCTGAATATAAAGGGAAAAAATCTATCATTACACCTCAGTTGATCAATCTTTAGTATAAAAGCAATGTAAATATTTTGATGCTAATCCAAACCATTCAAAGTTCAAATTTGTTCCAAACTTTTGGACCTTTTGCACTTTTCTCATTACACAAGCACAAGAATGCTGAAATGTTGCACCAGCTGACTCAGCTGGCAACAAACTAAGTCCATGACTGCCTTGGAAGCAGCAGGATCCAGCTTGATATCATAATGTGTATAGGTTTATAAATACTTACAAATTGCGGGCAGCAAGATTCTTGAAAGCTTGGGTTTTGACTTCGATTATGTTGTTTCCACTTAGATCCCTAAAAAACAAGGATTTTTATTGCAAAATTGCGTCTGATGAAGAAATGTATGAAGACATCTTAAATTAAAACTGATTTACTCAAAATGTGCCTATCTGCAAGATGGGCATCATGTTAAGGAAATTTTCTCAGATTAAAAATGACAGGTGACCGATATAACGTACATAATCATTTAAACTACAGTAGATATTGAGAACATGTAAAAGTCCAAAAATGATTTGTTTTTCTCTAAAATAAAACCTATTCAGTTACAGGTTAGTGTCCATTTCTGTTATTAAGACTATTAGTTATAAACTATACACAAGGATATCATAATAGAACAAAGGATGTTTGTCACGTCTTTTGTTACTACATGTATCAGTCAGGTTTAAGGAGGGCATGCATGGGTCATGTCATTATTCGGATCGACACCAATGACTAACGATATTTTGGCTATGCAGATTTGTACACACACGTATGGAACTTAGGACGCAATGTGTGAGTTATATAATAATAGTAAAGGGTTTTTGACTTTTTCACAAAATAATAGACAACATGTGCTTACAGATCCCATGTTATTGTGAGATTGACAAAATCTCCTCCCATAGGAATCTTCGTGAGTCGGTTATTCTGCAGACTTAATGACGTAAGTGATGTTATATGAGCCAGTGAGCCATCCTCAATGTAAGCTATCTCGTTGTCTGCAAGATCCAAGATATAGGTCAATGGACAATCCTCAAATGTTGTCTTAAGAATTCGTCCGATTTTGTTGTTTCCGAGATCACTGTTAATAAAGAAGAACAGGTGAAAAAATATTAAACAATCATAAAATTACATGAAAATTCATTCTACCTCTTTGCTGTTTTTTTTTTTATTAGAAAAAAGTATTTATAAATACTTATTTACTTAACATGCAGACCTATATTCATAACTAGATGCATCACTGTGTAATTACGAATCCGAACACGGAATGTTGCTTTTGCCATTGAATGGGACACCCTGAATGTACAAAGATAGGGGCTCATTTTGGGCTGTTCAACTATGCAAAGTTGAAAAAACAAACAACCCGAAGAACCAAATCATGTTTGAATAGAACGGTCTCTTACATGGTATCTGTGTCCCTGTGTTTTATTATCCAGGGTCCTTATTCACAAAGCACCCGTAAATGCTTGCGGGCGCGCAACTTCCCCGCAACCCTCACTTAAGCACTTGCGGGTTATTCACGAAGCCCCCCTTAAATCTGCGTGTGCCCGTAAACCACCCGTAAATTTGCGGGACCTCCAGACGTCCCGCAAGCACACCACAACTTGCGTGGATCATCTCGATTGTCACAATGGCGGCACTCTTGGCATGTATTTGGATCTACGAACTGATTTGACGTGCCGGTTCATCTTCCGTGACCGGTTGAACCAACTATAGGATGAGTTAAAAAGAAAGTGACCGAATTTGAAAAATGTGTTCAAAATATTTGGCGCGTTCCATTTTCATGGGCGTCAATCGGTGGGGGACAAGTCCTCCCCCCACTTTTTTTTTTTTAAGTGGCGGATATCATATCGTTGCCCCCCCCCCCTACACACACTTTTTCTATCCCCGAATAAAAATTGTAGCCTACATAATGATTCTATAGTAGCTGATTCAATGACTCCAAACTCAAAAAATGATGTTTAAAAGATGATCTTTTGCTCACAAAAGTGGTTTGAGTGCTCAGAAATTGCCTCGGATCGCACCACAGATTAAGCATCTAGAATCCAAAAAATTTCGGGGCCCGCTCCATGCCGTAATAGGTATGTCCTCCACTTTTAGGAAGCGACTGCCGCCCTTTGTTTTTTTATGGGACGAAGTACATCTTATGGGATTTTAAGTGTGAACATTTCACCTAAATTGCACAGTCTAATCCGAAGTTATGTCTATTTCAATAAAACGATCACAAACTTGTTTACCACTCATCACGTGATGCAAACTGAACACCCATTGAGTACAATGAAACGTGGACTTTCCCACCTCCACTGAATGAACAAGAGCATGGAAAAGGATACAAAAATCACCATCAATATTTAAAAAAAATAGAGCTAACTTGTTTCTTATATATTGAAAGCACACATTCTGACAGTGGTTTCTGTCTTGAGTTCAATTATTAAAGGGAACCTGCAAAAGGATTTGTATGACTTAAATATATTTAAAACAGCTTTCTTGCCATGTTACTATGACTTTCAATCTTCTTTTGTAGTAGTAAAAGGGAGAAATTTCAACATTTCCATTTTTATGCTATTGAAACTTTCCATATTCATGAGCCAAAGCGTGATGTCATTCAAAGCAGAACAGAAGTGTCTCTACAGCTTTGAGCACAAATATATATCACACTTGTTTCTATTTTCTTGCAGTAAGTTCCACTTTTTACTTGTTTATCATGTTAAACAGCTTGTTTGGACACTAGCAGTCGCCACTAGTTTTTTCGAAGCTTTTTTTGTGGGTAACTTTGAAGGAGTTATGTTTGTACTGTTCATATGCACTTTTGACAAGGAGTTCCTTGTGCGACAAAAGCAAAATAGCACCCATTACATGCGATTGTTTTGATGAAAGGATTTGCTAACAATTGAAAAACTACCACTCTCTTGTCACTTTCAACGAAAACAAGTATTACGATCTTGTATGTATTGTTGCGACACATAATAATGTGTAAGAGAACAAGATGGGCTGAATTTCCACTGCATGTTTCCTTTAAAGTCTTGTTGGCATTTTAAAGTTTGTCTGTAATATGATTCTCACTATTAACTCAATAGCTTCCAATGACATTCAAGGACAGCTATAAAAATGGGCTACGTTTGTAACACATGCATAACTTCTGAAAGCATTGGTAAATTTTAGTGATTCATTTTTTTCTTTAAATGAATGGAAGAACATGCTCTAAAAGACATGCTTGATTGGTGTTGATTGTTTGCTAAGAAAACAAAGACAAGTTAATCTTTAATCGAATCTGCCTGTAATTTTTACAACTAGCAAGTTCTCTAAAATGGGATAAAATGTCTTGGCATGTTTTTTTTAATGTTCAACCAATTAGTTGCGGGTGCCCGCAACATGCGGGTCCACTAAGGGAACTCTAAGGGTGCTTCGTGAATACCACTTAACGCAAGTCTTACGTGCCCTTAACATCCACTTACGGGTCCCCGCAACGCAAACATTTACGGGTGCTTTGTGAATAAGGACCCAGAAACATACCTAGGACTTGCACGAATGCAGCTTATCAAATGCAAAATCTTGGTCAATCATTTCAAAGAATTAAGACATTAATTGTAGGAGAGGATCCACCATCTTAAACTTACATGTATGCAAGAGACGTACACCCATCAAACGCTGTGTCTGGTATAACATCAATCTCATTGTTGCTTAACAGAAGCCAACGCAGTGACGACAAATTTCTGAAAGGGTCCTCGTGAAGAAAGTACAACTGGTTTGAAGACAGTCGTCTGCAAATTGATAAAACAGAATCATGAATGAATGTTATCAGACGTTTGGTGACATGCAACGGCAAACATAATGTCTTTTTCTTGGGCAGTAAATACAAAGTTCTGAAAATACAGCGCCAGACTTCTACGCTCAGACACCCAGTCAGTAAACAGAATATACACACGTGATTAAAAACTACACGGATACGCTTTTCTGGACTGACAAGATGTATACTCACATAATTTCAATGTCCACTGGAAATGCATCATTTTCAACGGAGATAATGCGGTTGCCAGTCAGGGTCAGATCTGTGAGAGTTGTTACATTAGAGAACACTCCAGCCAATAAAAAAGTAATATCATTGCCCGCCAGATTCCTGCAGCAAGACACAGATAAATTTGACCCTTTTAGGAACCACATTTCTTATAAAATGTCTCTCTAACTGATGATATTTTCATCCGTTAGTTAGCCGTTAAAGATATATTTTGATAACACTTTTGCTGATATAATTTTTTTCTATGGCAATCGGAAAGTCTTTCGACTTATTTCGTATGGATTCTATTTGTATGAAAACAAGGAAGGACAATACAGACGGATGGGTGGATGAAAAACCCGAATTTGACATTTCTTGGAAACCATCAATATCAGTTAGAGGCTAAAAACCAGGTGTTAGGCGTAAGCGGGATTCAAACACGGGTCATAACGGTGGGTCGAGGAAAGAAAAAAAAAGGTATAAGACCAACTGATTTTACCAAGAACTTATATGAACTTACAGTGTTCGAATGTTCTGTACTCTTTCTTGAAACTGTACAGCAGGTGGAACATACTGGAAGTAGTTGTTGCCAATGTTCCTGAAGTAGAATGTAAAAACAGGCTTTTGATTCAGTAGTGGAGAAAAGAAAAACATTTATAAATACTAATATATTTGTCTTACCATAATTTCCCCATGATACATGTTCGTAACATTGTATCCTTGTTCACATAGATGTAGTCAGAGTAACTAACGAAAATTACTAGGTACATCACAGACTTAAAATCAGATTGAAACTATTTCATCTGGTAATCTGACTCTCAGGTAAATTGATTCAACAAAATTTCTAAAACACATTTCTCACAGATTTGAAAGAGAGGTCAGACACTGGAAGGCATTCTCATCCAATGTGTCGTCTTTCAGCTGATTGATGTTGAGGTTCAATTCCTGGAGGATGCTCATCTTACATAGGTCTTGATTGTTAATTCCAAGGATGCTGTTCTGTTGTAGAAACCTAGAATGAGTGAAACGGGAATGATATAATTATTTCTTTTGACTACATTGAATTGTATTCATTCTGATTCCAAATACGAACATGTGTTGGTGCAACCAAAATGCTCTTTAGTTTCATGATGAGCCATACAAAAGTTTGACACTGCACTGAAGCTACATGGAAAATAAACTTATCATTAAAGAAAATAAAGCGAGATTATTAATTACGCAACAAAATATAAGGATATGAACCACTTATCAAAGCAAAACCCGAGAATGTTTTCCCGATGATTTTTTTTTCCTATCAAGTACATTTTAGAAATGATTCGGAACACATAATCATTGCTTCTGGACAGAATTGACACCGATTGATTAATCGAGCTCCTGTAAAGCAGCCAAGTGACTTAACCATTGAATCTTTAAATTAACCGATTCCCTTTTACAGTGTTAGCAAAAGTACTGAACATAAAGAGCATCCACCATTAGGCACTTGGTATCACTTACAGTTTCTTCAGGTTTGGCATCTTTGCGAATGGTTCGTGGGTCGTTAGCCGGTAGTTGTACAGTGTCAGAGCGCTGGAAAACTGGTCAACGTGTAGTTCCGTGATGTTTGTTATTACGTTATTATCCATGTGCCTGAAAACAAGTCGTCAGGCAAATAACATTAGTAAGGTATGAGTACACGTTGTTTATTCGAAAGCGAAAACAATAACACAGTGTGTATTCAAAAAAAAATCAACAAAATGTCAGACGTAGAATGTGTAACCAACACAGATAATAAGATAATAATTTGTTTGAAAGGTACACCTTTCCACTTTAAAGTAAGACATCAAACGTCCAAATCTGATAATTTTTGACAGAGTTATGAGTAATTTTGCAAAAGAGGTCAAATTGACCGTGGGACCAAGTTTTCAATTTTAGGCATAGGAACAAAGGTAGCCTAATAGCCTCTGTGTGGGGGCTACAAAATGTGTTTAGCGAGTACCCATAATGCTAAACACTTTCATGCTATCAGTTTGTAAACATGTTCACATGCTTAACATTTTTAGCATGAGGTGATAGCAAGAAAGCGCTTGAAAGAGGCGCATTTTAGTAGCCATTATGCGAGTATGTATAAACTCTAACATTTGTAATTAAAAATGTGCGCAGCATACAAAATAGGCCTACACGCTTTCCTGCAAGGAAAACCAAACTAAGGATAAGATATAAATACATAAATACATTGTAAAGACATTGCATTCCATAGAGATGTGGTATCATCATTTGAATCATTGAACAATGTTAAGAACCGAAACACTTACAGGTCTGCCAGCTTATCATATGTTTCCTCTGACAGAACAGCGTGGGGAAAATATGGCAACGCGTTCGAGCTCAGGTACCTGCATGGAAAGCAATTAACTCAATGTTATTTAGGTTACCATCTTTAATTTCAGGTTTTAAATAAACATTAGATTTCTGCTGTTTCTACACAGAAAATAGCGTCAATGCATATCCCACCTTCGCTCAATAATGTAGCCTAGTCCCATAATGTAAACTTTACTACATCCCCTTGACATGATAGGCAGATAATATCGAAGAATTGCGAAAATCTATAAGCATACAATTCTGTAAGGTTGCTTCCAATTCCCAGAAAGGAGTTGTAGCGAATACTGGCCAACTCAAACGTATCCAGTTGATTATGCAAGATCCTGTAGAGAAAAAAACCGGAATTCATATTATTGGCTAGAGTTGTTTGTGATTTCCACATCATTATTGTGAGTAATTGTACAGGGTGAACCCCCCCCCCCCCCACAAAAAAATGCAACCCTAAAACATTTGCCTTTAAAAAAAAAGGGGGAGGATCAGTGTATTTTTATGATTTGGGGATCAAATCTGTAAAGCTGAAAGTTTTTTTTTTTTCAAAAACTGAAAAAATTACGAAAAATAGCACTTTGGGTTGCTGAAACAATTCCAGTAAATATAAAGTAGTCATTTTTCATCCTGTACACAAGTACTTCAACTTGAAGCAGTGAAACATTTTACTGTAAGCCCACTGTGCAATTATCCTTCGTTTGTGCAATTTCTTTAGTATTTTGACATATTTATTATGCAACCCAAAGTGCTATTTTCACGATTTTTTTTCAGTATTTAAAAGGAAAAGCTCTCAGCTTTAATCTGATACCCAAAACATAAAAATCCACCTATCCCTTTTTTTTTAAGACAAATGTTTTAGGGTTGCATTTTTTGGGGGGTCATCCTGTGTTGAATGACAATCAAGCTTGTAGTGAATCACTTTGTGGATACACTAAAATGTAAGTGTTTCATTTAATGTCTTACTATCTATTATGCTGCGTTTACTCACAGTGTTCGCAAAGACGGTAGATCCGTTACAGCCTTAGCCTTCAGAGTTTTCAACTTGTTGTAACTCAAATCCCTAAACAAAAGAACACAAAACAAATTGTTAATTTCCTGACACCATACTTTGTAAACGTAACACCTCGAATAATACGATGTTAACAATGTTACTATTATACTCACAAGTGTAATAGTTGTGGAATCCTATCCATTGTTTGTGCAGGGAGATCTTCTAACACATTCCTATGCAACTCCCTGAAAAAAGCAAAAGACTCATTTCTTTAAACTTGAACAATTTCCGAAAATTGCAGGCAAGAGGGATTTGTTGGGGTGACTTCTCGAAAGTAAACATTTCCTCGAAAACAAAAATGGAACTACAAGGAACATGATGATCCACGACAATCTGTTATTACGTGACAGCACGTCAATTTTCACTAATGATGCAATTTTTTCAGTTGTAAAATACAGCTGTTTTACTCACAATATCTTCAGATTTTGAAGTTGCATGAATGCCCTTGGTGCAGTGTAGCTGATCTGATTGTTGCTCAAGTTTCTATATAAGATGAAACAAATAGAACATGCAGCAAATGTAAATAAATCAAACCGGAGCTAAGGGCGCAATTATATTGAATTTCACTTTAACCTTTAATAAATAAAATGTGTTCTGTTGGCAAATCAAGTTACTTCGAAAGTGCACTAGGTTTACAAAATAATAAAAAATAATATAAGGAAATCAAAACTGTCAGTTGTGATGAATTTAATGCAGTTTTCTCAGTTTGTAATTGACCTTTTACTCTGAACTCTGATGGCATTTCTTTTATCAAACCCAATGTGTATAAAAATGCTAAACCCTTATTGCAGTACCACTGTCTGACACAAGCATATGCAAGTTGGGGCGGGTTATTTTACCAACCATGATTGAAATTAATTTTTAACTGGCTGTCCATATAGGTCAGTGTTGATGCACAAAGGAAAGCATTATACCTTATTTCCTTGAATAAAGAACATTGTCTTTAACTTTGAAACTCACAGATGCTGAATCGGGGTAGATGCAAGAGGAAGAAGGTTGCGCTTGGAGACTGATGTCAGTTGGTTATCATCCAGAGACAAGAAGGTAAGGTTCTGCATGTTCTGAAGAGAGTCACTGGGGAATGCAGCCAGCTCATTCATACTCAGACCACTGAGGAAGGATTACAAAATATCTAAGGTTTATCATAAGGGGCACTCTTAAAAGTCACGTGTCGGATTCGAACCAATCCTGGTTCATTTTGACCTGACATACATGTCGGGGACAAAATGCCAATTTTTCTCGTCAAAAAGAAACTCTTTAAGGTCAAAGGGCCCGGAAAAGTGACTCAGAGAAATGTTGCCATGACCCGAAAAAAAATGTAATAGTCAGGCAGATTTGTGCACAATATAATGGAATTTTTCATTTGATGATAAAAGCAGGACATCTGGTACACAGTGTATGTCATCGCAAAAATATTTGGCTAAAAATTATAGAATAACATGCTATGGCCGCCATTTCGAAAGTTTTGAAAGTTTCTTCTTATACTTTTTTTTCAAAGGACAAATCTGCGATGGCCCTTTAGCCAACTATCTTTCCCATGACATACGCTGACTGTGTGCCGAATTCCATGTCTTATAATCATCAAACTGAACAATATATCTTATCACCAATATTTGAGTTACAGTATGAAATTTAACACAGCATATCTAGGTTTACTTCCAGAAAGGATGCAATTATTGCTTTATATTCAAGGAGAACAAAAACTTTAATTGAACCCGGTGAGTGGTAGGGAGCTGTACAGCGAGCGCATCGTAATTGTCAACATGTTAATTGACTACTCGGACACACACCAGATTGTCCCATACGTGCGTAATTCTCTCTTTGCTAATGTTGAGGGCGTACTCACATATATTCAATGTTGGTTTTGGAGAAGAATCCCGGAGGAAGCCAGTTGATATTATTCTCCATTAGACTCCTGGAAATAAACAAAAATAAAACATGGGTGAGTAACACGCTGGATGATAGTAGTGTGGTAAATGGATGCAAACACGATTGTATACCGACGAAATTAGACTCTCTAGAAACAGAAAAGAATTCCTAGGTATAAACTGGAAAAATCAGAGATGCAACATGACATTACAATTACAGAAATGCATTGCTTGTTTCTTTTCTTCAAACAAAACGGTAAAATTTCATGGTTGACATGGATCAAATAATGGTTACAATAAATGTCTTTAATAGGGTATGTGAACCAAAGCATCAAGCTATAAGGAACATTGTATTATTCGTTTACATAATAAACATAATAAACGTGCTGATACAAGTAGCCATCTAATGCATTGGAATTAATGGATTTAGAAACTTACACTCTTTTCAGTGTCTTAGCAAATTTGATGGTTTTGTAGCTTAATGGAGACAGACTAATTGCATTTCTTGTGAGATCCCTGCAAACGAAAAATGAAAGATTTAGCATTGCATCAATAACATCTTCACTGTACCAACAGCCACTTTCGATAGGCAAAATGTAAACCTCTCATTAGTGTAGGGAGGTTAAGCAAATACTTACAGTTGCTCTAGACTCGTGCAGTTTGATAAATCTGGAAAGGTTGTGATGTCTGTGTTGTGTATAGTCCTGGAAAAGAAACATATGAGATCACCAAAATCATTGCGATGTTTGGGCAAAGTTTTGACAAGTGAGTATTCATGCAACGGGACATTACAGCACCCGTGACAACTATACATGTAGAACTAGAGTTTCGCGTTTGTTGAGTTACAAACGCAGAGTGGTCGGGCGGACAGCCTTTTCATTATTCACTGCCCAGTTAAGTTAGGAATATATGTTTATGTAGAAAAAAGGATCACGAAATTAAATCCCTTCAAGTACAATCAATGTTTCAAAAGGGTATCTTTAACGGTGTGATAAATTTCAGTAAACATTCTATGTGCACAAAAAGTTATTTCTGGCTTGATGACGTCATCAGTCAAAAGTGGTTAGTGAATACAGATAAAGTTCGGAGAGGATAATTTTTCATTGTTAAGTTAAAATAACGTATGCAAATATGGGAAATATAATTGTTTGTATTAATAACATCTCACTTCCGGTTTGATGACGTATTGATAACACCTAACTTCCGGTTTGATGACGTCACAGCATTAGAGATCCAAAGGTGAACATTGTAATGGATATCATTATTTGGACTTCGAAGATATGACAGGGATCAAATGATAGAATTAAATTAACACTATGATCTTTTTCAAATTCTCCTTAAAGTAACTTCCGGTCTGATGACGTCATGAATTTGAAACCTTGCCAAGTTATCTGTGGTTAATCAGAGAATGTCAAGGGGCGATTTGGTAAAATTTGGACGGATGGTTTTACAATTAAAGAAGGGAAACTCTATTTTATGTGCCGATAGAGGGCGCCCTTTCGGATGATGACGTCATCACACTGTTTTTTGCGTCTTGCATTCCTCACTTCTATCTATCTATCTATCTATCTATCTATCTATCTATCTATCTATCAGGCTACGTCCATCCGCTGTCGAATGAAGCCCTCCTCATGACGTTTCCAATCACTTCTGTTTCTGGCTGTCCTAGTCCAAGTCGCTGTTCCCATATATGTAGTTATATCATCTCTCCATCTTTTCTTTGGTCTTCCTCTCCTTCGCTTTCCCATTCGTGGTTGCCAATCTGTTAATCTGCATGTCCATCTATTATCCTGAATTCTTGCTACATGCCCTGCCCATCTCCATTTTGCTTCGCTGACTTTCTCTATGACATCTTTCACCCCAGTTTTCTGCCGAATTACTTCATGTTTTATTCTATCTCGTAGGGATAAGTGAAGCATCTGTCTTTCCATAGCTCTCTGTGCTGTTGTGAGTTTCTGTTCAAGTTCTTTAGTTAATGACCAAGTTTCTGATCCATAAGTCATAGTGGATAGCACACACTGATTGAATAGTCTCTTCCTTAGTGATATTGGTAATTTGTTGTCTGTTAGCATGTCTTTGTGTTGACCAAATTTCATCCACCCTGCTTTGATTCTCAGCATCACCTCTTCTCTCGTGGTGTCCTCCATTTTCAGTGTCTGTCCAAGGTACTTATAGTTGTTTACCTTCTCTAGTTTCCGTCCCTCTATTTCAATGTCTTCCTGGGTCTCAAAGTTTGTCATGTACTTTGTTTTGTCTTTATGCATTCCTCACTTAACACTTTCATAATATATATGTCTGTAGTAAAATCCTTCTGCTTTTGAGTTATATTCAGTTTTTATTGCACTTCCGGTAACACCGGAAGTAAAGGTCAAGCGGTTTTGCGTCCGGGAACACGAAATGTTTCCCACGGCATAGTCTACAACCTCACGAAAAAACGAACACGATACTCTATTTAGTTCAAAAGATATAACGCAAACTCTTTTGTCAAAATTTGCCCTTAAATCGCTTGTAATTTGATACCTGATGACGTCATGATGACGAAACAAAATTTATAACATCTTCGTTACATGGTACAAGTTCACACAAGGTTTTGTGATCATACCGTGAACCGTTCGGAAGAAATGCTGCTTTGTTTTGATGTCAGGCTAACGTCTTCATTTTGAATTCACCTAACTTTGACCTTCCGGTAGACCCGGAAGTAAAGGTCAAGCGAGTTCACGTACACGACAAAAACTGTTAAGCGATTAATGGTCTATCTGATTACAGAATACAAACATCATTGATTGTTTAGTTCAAGAGTTATAGGCGAAAGTAATTGGTCACTTTTTCAGATAAAATCACTTGTAATTTGACACCTGATGACGTAATCATGACGTCAGAGTAATATGCACCACTTCGGTTGAGGGTCGAAATATATTGAAAGTTACAAGTTCATACCATATACCGTTTAAGAGAAAACCCATGGAGAAGTATTGTCCGGGAAAAAAAAGAAAGAAAGAAAGAAAGAAAGAAAGAAAGATTAATTGTAACAGATCCAAAGAGTGGTCGGGTTGTGCCCGACCACTCAATAACTCCCTGCTAAGGAGAACAATGACAGAAAATCACTGTCGAATTTGCTAGTCGTTTAGTTTGAGTTGTTCAAACAGAAATTGTCTCCACAAATGAAACCTTATTATACAAGGAGAATGTAATGCGGACATTCATTAACAAGTCATAAAAAGAGTTGTATAATTATAAACTTTGGCATTGACATAGGCGTAGCCAGCGGGGGGGGGGGGGTATTTCCCCCCAATATTTTGTAAAGACTGCTTTTTTTCCATTCAAATGCCCTTTTTTCGACGGGCTTTACCCCCTCCCCACATAACTTATAAAGAGTGCCCTTTGTTTACGAAGTGCCCTTTTTTTCTGAACAAGTGCCCTTTTTAAAAAGCACTTTTTGATTATACGGAGGCCAAGTGTCCGGAGTCCGGAGGAAAAAACCTGTCTACATTTCACAACGGATGTGAAAGTGCCCTTTTCAAAAAAATGTTACCCCCCCAATAAAAACGACCGTGCTACGCCCCTGATTGTAGCCACCTGTCCTTCATACACTTTCACTGGTCACTTGTTTGTCAAGCATCCAGATTTAACAACTGTCGTCAAAATGTATGGATATGTAGTTCACACGCCTTTCCTTAAGGGAAACCAACACTTTAAGCTGTATTTTGAATACATTTTAAGTAAACAGGAGACACAACATGCTCCAAACTTACAGTTTTGTGAGCTTTGTTAAAAAGCCGAATGCGTTCCTGTCGACCTGATTCAAACGCCCGACAATTGTTCTACGGAAGACAAAAATCACAAAAAAACCTCATTTATATTTATAAGCAACTTTTGCAAGCAACCTATGGCTGACAGCATAATATGCCAATGAGTTATAAAACTCATTAACTTAAATTTTTGAATCCCGTTGTCCAGATTTCTACCTGTTAAAAAACACGCTGAATGTCTTTTCTCATAAAAAAATATCAACATTGTATCTGATTAGGCCTAACAACATTTTACAAACATTTACTGAGAGTACTCACATGTCTGTAGTGTCAGGGTTGAAAGTCTCCACAGTGAGATTATAATCAAACCTTATGTTCTTCAGAGTCCTATCATTTGGAAATGACAAAAACAAACAAGATTATGGTACTTTACGGAACATATTTGCAATAATATATAGTGTCATATTTCGTACAAGTTTACCAAAGGTGAAATATAATTTAGACCGGTTCCTATTTCACTCAAATTCAAAGAAAAGCTACATTGACAACACAAACAATTCATTACGAATAATTCTCGCACACAAATTATCAGTCGCAATTCCTTTGCGTCGTATAATTTAAAATGTCAAACATAAGTTGTGTATGGACATTTAAAAATGCTTCCTCGAAATGGTTGTCTATTAATTTGAAAAGATTTATATTTAAAGACAAATATTTTGTTACATACACTTTCGTTTTCCCCGTGCAGTCGACAGTTTTCTCATTTTCACTGCAGACACAGCTGCAAACTGTTCCACTATAATCTGAAGTTGAGCGTCCATAACCACCATTGATGCTCGGCTGGTCAGACCAGAGACCATTAAACATAGCAGAGCCTAAAGAAAGAAACATCAAACAAGTATTATGTACACATGCACTCATGCTTCATAATGTCTGAGTTAAATCTGGCTACAACATCTCTGGTTCGTTGTGGTCGGATCCTCGAAGAGGATTGTCAGCAGTGAATTTTGAAATGTCTGTTTCGCTTAGCAAGTAACTATTTTGTATGCTTAGAAACTTTCAAGGTTTTGTAAGTCCGTTGAATTTTTTTCATGTATTCTAAGCACGGCTGCCCCCTTTTGGGATGAATTCTCGAAGGTCTAAACGTGAAACGAATAGTGCACAACAGTGAAACAATAATCACTTTCACTTCCCCAATTAACCTTAAATTATTTTTGTGTCCTCTTTGGACAATTCGATTACCTACTTTAAAAGAAAATCATAATGAAACCGCTTACTGTGCAAAATTAGAATACTGTTTGACAGACATATCATTCAATCAGCTGGGCACACACCTTTGCTAGTCAAATTGAATTTTTTTTCAGTATAAGTGGCTTTGTAAATGCAATTATTGAATTCATCATTTAATATACAATGCAATGCAAATGCATTTACCCGTTTCATAGTTAATGCCGAAGTCCTTGTAGCGATCGTTCCAGTAGTTGGCACCAAAGTGATAAGCGTTAGTCAGAGGGATGCCAGTCAAAGCCGCCAGCACGAACAATTGCAGAAACACAGACATGATCTCGCTATAGAAAACCCGTATTGAGTTGAAAATCAACAAATCTGAGATTTAGTAATCATAAAGTGCCGGAAGAGAAGGAAATAATATTCACATTATCTCTTCGCATGTCGATTAAGCACAGATTACGGACGACCTTGAGTTTTATCGCATACCTCCAAAAATAATGCCCACTGTGTGAAAAAAATATTACTGAGCTCATGTACTTAAAAACAGAACAAGCCTGGGTCAATTTCACATTTAAACAAAATCTCTGATGAGCTTACAATCTCAAAAAAATATCATCACAAAATGAAGGTAGATGGAAATCCTTGGTTTCTCGAGTTAGCCGCACATACATGTTTACCAACAGACGTGGGTGTAAATGCTGTGGACAGACAGGATATACTTTGCAGGGGATGGAATAGGTCAATAGGTCATCCCACAGATGTATTTGCATTTTGAGTAACCCCCACCCCCCCCCCCAAAAAAATGCTTTTCAACATTGCTATTCAAAAGTCCAAACGTATTAATTAGTTCTGCAAAACTGAGAACAAACGGTTCAAAGCTTTAAATGCACCGTTTTGATTTCAGGTTAATGGACTAAGCGGGCACGTTTGCATAAGATGTAGACCTACATTACTTTGTGTCATGAACAGCGCATACTAGTAGTATGATGTACTGAACAGCCACCCATCCTCTCCCCCATCTTTTCGAATCCCACGGCCCCTGAAGATTGGTGTCCCGCCCCCCCCCCCTCCCCTCTACTCGCCGACACGGATTTATGTGACGCCACTGCCAAAAGGGTTCATGAATGTGTAGCTCGCACAATCCTGAATTCGCAATTGCAGCATCCCGGATCTACTGAACCCGTTAAGCAAATAATAAAGTAAAATTGCATATAACATAAGTAAGGACACTAACCTGAACTGCCCGCTTCAACTTAGACAAAGCATAGATGGGCTGATAGGGAATCCGCGCTCTTAGACTTGGACTGAAGGGTAACTCGCAATCCAAAATGAACGCTGACTGATGTCGCAAAAATATCGTTGAGCTAACCATTGACAGCGTTGGCCGTCCAAACAATGCTTGTGTTTGGTGCGTATTGACATTTTGAAGTAACGTGACATCAGAAAGCGTCAAGCTCGTAGCTTGTCTAAAGGTCAAGTGAGACCAAAGATTATATTTTAATCATGGAGGAATAAATGGGACATAGACTTGTTTTCAAGTCGGTAATTGTTCGGACTTGGTTCGTTCGACACGCCGGTCCGTTACGGTTGGCCTATGTAAATTGAAATACCCCCTCTCCCTTTCGATAATTTTTTTTGCGGGGGGGGGGGCTCACCGGCAGTGGAAAATCGAAAGCGGGTTGGGTTGATCCAATAGCCATGCGCGGAGCTAGCGTCAACTCCCCCCCCCCCCCCCCCACTCTAGAAAAAAATCATGTCGCCGCCCATGGTAGGACAATGGTCCAATAATATCCCACTTTGATTCGTATTGTTATTGTGCAATATATATTTCCAGAGCATGCATATGACACAGACAGAACAATTGTATAATTGAGTTAAAAGACTTCTTGTTTTATTGAATCACCTCAAGGGTTCATGAGACCGTGTGCACCTTTGTGCTCCTTTTTTAAGTATGAACAACATTTGACATCCTTTTAATTGTTACTGAAAATTGTACCCTTCTTTAATCATTTAGAATTTTCCATGCATTTCTTGACAACCGAGGGCGCTGTTGCCCTGATATAATTTCACACTGTTCAGCTTAGGGGTTTCTGTTCAAAGTGTGACCCGAAAACTTGATCACTGAAAGCATTTGTGAAGTACACTTTGTTCACAGGCTTACGTAAAGGCAATTAAGGACCGCAAACATTCAAAATTCTGCCAACCCTTGATGCTGATATATATAACATTGAGGTTTCTACCTGAAATTACATCACACTTTCGCACATGAATATGGAAATTTGAATATATATTGGCATAAAAACCTAAGAGGCACCAAAATACCCTTAAAATGGCAAAATGAAAATTGAAAAATAAAGTTAAACAGAACACAAAAGTGACTTTTCAAGGATTGAAAATATATATAAAGGTATAACCGAATGTTTGAACTTCGATGTAGGTACGTGTTTTTATACAATGCGTTTGTACCCTATAAAAGTACTCCCTCGATTCAAGTACAAAAAAACAAACAAACAAATTACAACAGGATCGGCCGACAACATTGCTTTTTGCAAATTGACAGGTTTAAATCTCAGGTCAAGAAGGGAAGTGATCGTCTCCCATCGAAAACTAGGATTTATCTAAATATTACATGAAATAATTCAACAAGCATTGCGTTTTTCTTACTTTAAAGGTCGCGTTGAAAACATCATGTTAATTGCACCTCACTACAAACGGACGCGCAATGTTCCTATTTTAATAAACTGATTTCACCGAGTTTAATGAGTAATATCTTTAAAACCATCGTAGTCATATATATACACATAACCAAAGTGAATTTATATCTTATTAATTACTGTTTTTGTTTAGGGGGAAGGGACGTAGTGCTAGTTCCAAGCGGAAGCCGACGTCACGTGACCACGACAGGTAAGTTTTGAAATACAGATCCCATTTTTGATTACAGGGTAATCGGATGACCGAAATGAGTAGATGTTCCAGATCAAAATAACTAGGCTGAAGCGTGCTCCATAAACTGTTGCAGTTGTCTACAGTAGCCAAATCATCGGGGCGTGGCCTATACCCCCCTCGGAGACGGCTTTTCAATAAGTTTTGTTTTTCCATATGGGGGCTCTATTCTGACCCGACTTTAAAAGACCCGAAATTAAAACAGTAATAACAAATGCGTTGTTAAAGCCATTTTAATTTCAAAATCTGTCTAAAAATTAAAGGTAATAAAAGTAATGCTTGCATTTGCCCTGGTTACTCAATGTGGCCGAGCGATCTTCTGTTTTATATAAAAGACAAAGCTGCTGATTTATAAGTTTCCATAGGACACGTTTTTTGCCATTCGTCGTTTCCTGACGACGTAGACGGCGATACCTATGACAATAGCGACAGCGACCAGGACACCAATGACAATGCCAGCAATCATGCCGGCCTTATTAGGGCTGGGCTTGGCAGTTGGATGGGGCGATGTGACGATCGGATTCTTCGTTGTCAGCACAGGCTCTTTGCAGGTTTCGACTGTTTACATAGCATAAAAGACAACCAAAAAGGTTCCAATTGGGAAAGGTTTCACAATCGTGGCGACTTTGAATTCATGTTTAGTTGTTATGTGGAAGTCTGGATAACAAACACCCACTGTCATCTATTTGACGTGTACGTCATCCAAATGAGAAATACAAAAGTTAAAGTAGTCATTTTTGTTTTCATTATGTAATCACAATTTAAAGCGGTTTTGCTGATAACTGTGTAATTGAAGTTCCCTCATTCTTGGCAATGTAACGCTTTTGGAAAACCCACTCGTTTCATAAATGTCTATCACTTAATAAAACTTACCCTCTCCGAAGTGTCCTTTGTCTTCTGACTTCTGTGCGAATGGTTGGATCAGAATGTTGTCAAGAGTCACGTTGAAATACTTCGCCTTGTTTAATATAGACTCGCACCTGAAGCTCTTACCAATTGTTCCATCTAGAAAATGTAAACACACCAAATCGGACCCCCATTATCAGAATATCCCACATTTCAGCACAAACGCTGTTTCAAAATGCCGCAAAAGACAAGTTACGTTTCGTTAATGCATCAGTTTACAAGTTCATTCATTTGGTTACTCTACTTTGAATCTAATCATTAATTTCGAGTCCAATGGCTCGATCAGGAGCTTTGCTGTTAATCTAGGTCTCTTATATCACGTGATTTGAAATCCGTAAATTATCTTGCAAAATATTATTTGTCAAGATTCTTAAATAATAGACCAATCGCAATAAATAAAGAACAGTTCTAAGGCCAAAAAAAAAAGTCTCCGGTTTCTGGTATGGAGCTTGCCCAAAAAGTGATGCGGCGACGCGGCTTTTTTTTTTTTTACCTGATTTTTTTGCTTCAAATGTGTGCTGATGACTGCAAATGGTGCCCGACTAAACTTAGTGCATATATATGGGAGTCCAGAGAGGCCACATAAAGCTTATTCTCGACCATAACCCAATCTAAAAAAAAGGTTAAAATTGTGCAGCAGCAGTATTCCAGTCAAACCAGTGAGTTTGGCGGTTTTGAGACATCATCTTTCATTGAAAAAAAAAACTTTTTCATTTTGCCGACGCGCATGGCTACGGCGACGCGCGCGCATACCAGAAACCGGAGACTTTTTTTTTGGCCTAAGCTAAAATGTTTAGTTTTGTTTTTAAATCAGGAAAATATCTAATGCAAACGCATGAACGATTACTCACCGTACGAGTGGTATGGAAAATAACCGTTGTCAATAGTATCTGAGGATAAAGAAAAGCAGACAAGAATACTCAAATAATAATCGATTCACGGTTCATTTGATTAAAAGAATCTCGTGAAAAAAATAACGCAATCCTTTTCTGTCAATGGCCATGCATATAAATTATTTATTCCGCTAGAGCAAATAAGAAATAAGGGTCAAAATACGACTCGATGCATCTTTGAACTAGAGTGTGGCTATACTCTCTCTTATTTGTGAATAACACTTTGCCCCTCGATTTCTTAGTTTACAAATTTCTTCCATTTCAGTGATTCTTCCCTAGATTCTGTGCTCCAACATTGTACTTTAGACACAGTGTTGAACTTACCCGATCGCCGGTCATTTTAATTAACTATTTAATTAAATATATCCGTTATCAATTAATTCGAAATATTGGTGTGTTCCATGGTGCGTTAATGAATCTCATGAAATGTTCAACAATAAAGAGTGTATATTCAGACCAATCGAAGTATTAACCTAAAAAGTAAAAGTATATTGAGACTAAATGAAATGTTCACTTACTGTATTTTTTCGCATTTTGCTGAACACACGGTTCGATGTACCTCACTGAAAGTCCGTTACGATTATAATAGGTCGTGTTGCTTGTCACGTTAAAAAACAGAGTTAGTATGGCGCAGAACGTATCCTCACTGGGGTAATAAAGCGTGAAGCTTCGCAAACTATTGTTGGCGCAAGAACCTTCAAATGATGATGTGTTCGTCATGGGAAGCGTTGATTCCAGCCACTGAAGACAGAAAAGAAGAAAATAATATCCATCAAAAGAAATTAATAATTACCTCACGTCTTTTTTCCGCCTTTCCATGAGGGCGTCATTTAATCCGTTTCTTGGCCGTGTCCCAATTTCACACGTGATGCTGTCCGCGCGGTGCCATCGCAAACTTACCCTTATTAAAATTTCAGTACAAAGACGAAGGCAGAATTTCGTGGTTATTTATTATTACTACTTTTAAACACTTCCCAACAGGATTGCACGGCGGTTTAAACTCCCAATCGTGACGGGTTTTCTACCGATGAGACAGGCCAAATTGTCGGTTATTTATGTATAAAGGTTTTTGAAAACTGTTTTTAAAACACATCAAAACAATTTTAAACTCACCCCTCCGTCCGTAGTTTCATACTTCACTTTCATCGTGGCATCGAAATTAAGTAACATGCACGGCTCACCATCAGAATTGTTGACTACAAATCTATACGGATTCAAAGCAACACATAATGCACAGACATTAAATAGGCTGCGATTGGCCAACTCGTAGGGGGATAATGCCTTGATCACCGCTCAACCGATGAATTGATGAACCGGCTGCACCCAAACTATGTATACACAATCAACAGCAGACCTCATAATTATTGTCCCCCTATTCATAGTTTATACTCTTACCGAAAAGAAAACACCATTCGTTTTGTACACGGTTTGAGGACCTTCACCAAGGACTGTGTTGTACTACATCGTTCAAGATCGTAATCACCCCCTTTACATATTGGTATTTTATACTATACGATTGAATCCTAAAACTCTGAAACTCCACAACGTTTGTCGAATATCGATATTAAGACCGACTCCATGTCATTATTGTCTCTAGTACTGCTCTTTTTTTCTGGTACCCAATGGTTGTTATATTATGTAAACACAGCCGCTTCACGATATGGCAGCCTGATTTGCATGAGAAACTTATGAACACAGAGATCAAAAATACCGTTTATGTGATCCAGATTAGCAGAAGAAAATGCCTAAATAGCCCTCGAATTGTATTAATTATATACAACGCAATTAGCTTCAAATCTGTTAGATAGCCCTCGAATATAGTATTAATTATGTACAACGCAATTAGCTTCAAATCTGTTGTAGACTTTAATTATAGCCACTGACCTTGGCGAAGGTTCTGGAGTGACAGTCGTAACAGCCTTCAGTGGAGTTTCCGGCTGAAGTGGTACCGTTCATGACTACAGTAGTCATGCCAGTTTTAGCCGGTGCTGTAGTAGCAGTAGCCATGGTCTTCCCGTGAGTGGTACCAACAGCTTTGGTTGAACCTGTTAGAACCTCAGTAGTCATCATTTTAGTACTCGGCGTAGCGGTAGTACCCGTGGGGGCTACCTTGGTGCTGCTCATCGGAGCGGTAGTACCCGTGGGGGCTACCGTGGTACTGCTCATCGGAGCGGTAGTACTCATCTGGGCCTGTGTTGTGGCAGCGGTGGTCGCGGCAGATGTTGTACCTACAATTAAAACATCACAATTATACAAGCATGTCGTTTCTTCATTTTTTTATGGATAACACATCGTCACATACAACTAACTAGTAGTACAGTGGATTCATAATTTTTTATTGAACAGGCCACAGTGGGTAAAAATTGGAGACGTTATTTCTAAGGTTAGGATAATCAACACAGGTGCCCCTCAAGGGTGTGTCATCTCACCGCTGTTATTTTCTTTTTATACAAGTGATTGTCTTTGTTCAAGTTCCAACTGTAGTATAATCAAATATGCAGATGACACGGTTATTACAGGCTACTTAAAGGATGATCCACTCTGTTATAAATCGGAGGTAGCAAAGTTTGTGGATTGGTGTGATCGTCATTTTTTGACTATTAATGTTAAGAAAACTAAAGAGATGATTGTAGATTTTCGTCACAACACTGGAGTTCATGAACCTGTTTATATAAATAACAGCGTAATAGAGAGGGTAAGTGAGTACAAATACCTTGGTACTGTTATTGATGATAAACTAAACTGGAACAAAAACACTCAGGTATTTTTTAGCAAGGCCATGCAACGGATGTTTTTCCTTCGTAAGCTTAAACAGTTCAATGTCGATAAGACGATTTTACGTTTATTTTATCAGTCTATAATACAGAGCATTGTCACTTTTAACATAGTTAGTGTATTTGGTTCACTTTCACAGAAAAATAAGGACAGGTTTGAGCGCATTCGTAAAATGGCTCAGCGCTCTGTCGGTCTCAGTTGCCAACATACGACAAAATCTTTTTGGAACGTGCAATATCTAAAGTTCATTTCATTCTGTCAGATCCAACTCATCCACTTTTTGATTGTTTTGTTTTTAATAGATCCGGTTTCAGACTCTGTGTTCCTCGCCCAAACCTTACCCGATACAGGCAATCCTTTGTTCCCAACTCCATTCATTTATTTAACACTTTGGCTGTTCGTTAATAGGGGTATTCCTTTTTGTATGTTTTGCTGCAGGTTCCCCAGTTCATTTCTCAGACTCTGTAATTGGCTGTTTCGGCACTTTTGCCGAAACAGCCTTTGTTTTCGTTAAGATTTTTTTTTTTTTCTTTTTTTTTTTTTTCTTTTTCAGTCATTTTGCCCATAGCATTTGTACACGTTTTTTTGTCACCGGCACTTTGGGCACTAAAATCGATCCGATTGACTTTATACTTGGCACACATTTAGACCAGCATCTGAAGTTGTGTGCCGAACATTGACGTCATCGTGACGTCATCGACTAATTTATTATAGAATTTTGAATATTTAATTTTTCCCATAGACTTTGTACACAGAAATCGAAAAAAAATTGTCGATTTTCAAAGGGCATTTTTGACTCTTTGCCAGTAATTCATTTGCACCAATCTTTGTCCAAGCAAAGACCCTAATTCAAACAACATTGTGTAATGATGACGTCATGATGACGTCATCCGGTGTGTATTTATAGGCAATTAAATTGTGACACTTTTAATATTTAAAAATGCATAAGAAATCAACCGTACGCGTCCGCAGCATTCTGTTACCGGCAAGTGGTAGAGTAGGTTGAGGTCTTTATTTCATTCAGTGTGCGTGAAATCACGTGACCCTTGCTTCCGGTCGAAAAAGGCCAAAATCGGAAGTGGCTTATTATTTAAAAATGGTAATAGCGATGAACTTGCTTTTAACGGTGTTAGTCTCTTGGCTAAAAGTATTCTTCAAATCATCTACCAATGACGTCATGCAATCTTCGAGCGCCCTCTAGCGACAGGTTAAAAATTTGCAAAAATGTATTTTGAATAGATGTCTGTGGCGAAGTTTGTCGGAATCGCCTAAATATTGGTGTACATGATGACCTTGACCCACTTAAGACGTATGCAAAGTTTTAGGCGAATGACGTCATCAGACCGGAAGTTATAATAAAAAGACCCTTTTTCATTTGAAAATTCCTGAAAAATCAACCATGGCAGTTATTATGTTAGTTTTTACTTTAATTGTCGATTTAAGGGTAGGTCTAACACATTTCAAAGCTTCAAGGCAATAAGCGAACTCGGACATGCCCTGCGCACGCTTAAAACTTCAGGTTGACAATACATCTGCTCTAAAACATGCACAGAACGTCTATATGTACATACACGTACGTTACGCACATACTTTACATGTACATCGTACATGTAATGTCAGCCAGCCTGCAGAGCACGTATTGCTGCGGTCAAATCCTTTCCACATCATATCACAGTGACCGTTTTAGCCGATTTTCGGCTAACTTTGACAGATTTTTTGTTCGTGCATGCGCATAGTCAGGGACGTATAATAAAAAATCGTAATGCCGAAAAGCCCTATGTTACGTATTTAAAGGTGCAGTTTTTCTGCAGTGGGATTTTCCACAAGTCTTTTCCTATACAACACTAATATCTTACTGAGTAGTTCTGAACTTCAGCCGAGAATTACTATGAGAAGGAAAGAGAAATCGTATTTTTTCGCGCTGTCATTCGATTGAACATATTCCTAAGGGTCAGAATATCAAGTAATATTTCATAAAAATGTTTCAGTTCAAAGGCAAATTACAAATTTAAAGGTGCAATTTTTCTGCAGTGGGATTTTGTTTTTAGCCCGTTAATTTAGTACACGTGTTAGCCCATTGACTTTGTACACGTTTTCAAGCCACCATTTCTATAACTTGGCGATCTAGAATCGTCATCAATGTTACAGCCAAGGAAGACCCTCATATAAAAATTATGCCAAGACTATGACGTCATGATGACGTCATCACCTAATTTTTTTTATTGATTTTTGAAAATTTACGTGCATATTATGAAGTCCTATATCTACAGAACTGTAAGTCTGACTGGGTTGAAACTTGGTATGTGGCTAGACCGGGATGTGTTATAGGAAGAAAAAAAATTAGGTGGTCGAGACCTGAACATGATTTTTGCGGGAATTGATAGAATTAGCGAGGGTCTTCATTTTTTAAATAAGTGCAAATAAATCACGTGACCCTTTCTTCTGGTTGAAACCGGAAGTGCTTTGTAATTTAAAATTGGTGAAAGACGCGAACTTGCTTTCAACGATGTTTGCTCTGCCTAAGTTGTTCTTTACCATAATATTATAGTAATAGATGAAACTTTATGTGACGTCATCATGACGTCATCACGTGACATGTGACGTCATAATTCAAAGCCCTATGCGAATGGAATCACATATTACATTTATATGCCACCATTTATTATAAACAGAACTACACATCCTTCGTTGATGGAACACATGTCACGTCACAAAAAGCTACCGAAACAGCCCTATGTTTGTCCACAAACATATGTCTAGTCTTTTTTTTTTTTTTTTTCTTTTTCAGTCATTTTGCCCATAGCATTTGTACACGTTTTTTTGTCACCGGCACTTTGGGCACTAAAATCAATCCGATTGACTTTATACTTGGCACACACTTAGACCAGCATCTGAAGTTGTGTGCCGAACATTGACGTCATCGTGACGTCATCGACTGATTTATTATAGAATTTTGAATATTTAATTTTTCCCATAGACTTTGTACACAGAAATCAAAAAAAATTGTCGATTTTCAAAGGGCATTTTTGAGTCTTTGCCAGTAATTCATTTGCACCAATCTTTGTCCAAGCAAAGACCCTAATTCAAACAACATTGTGTAATGATGACGTCATTATATTTAAAAATGCATAAGAAATCAACCGTACGCGTCCGCAGCATTCTGTCACCGGCAAGTGGTAGAGTAGGTTGAGGTCTTTATTTCATTCAGTGTGCGTGAAATCACGTGACCCTTGCTTCCGGTCGAAAAAGGCCAAAACCGGAAGTGGCTTATCATTTAAAAATGGTAATAGATATGAACTTGCTCTTAACGGTGTTAGTCTCTCGGCTAAAAGTATTCTTCAAATCATCTACCAATGACGTCATGCAATCTTCGAGCGCCCTCTAGCGACAGGTTGAAAATTTGCAAAAATATATTTTGAATAGATGTCTGTGGCGAAGTTTGTCGGAATCGCCTAAATATTGGTGTATATGATGACCTTGACCCACTTAAGACGTGTGCAAAGTTTTAGGCGAATGACGTCATCAGACCGGAAGTTATAATGAAAAGACCCTTTTTCATTTGAAAATTCCTGAAAAATCAACCATGGCAGTTTTTATGTTAGTTTTTACTTTAATTGTCGATTTAAGGGTAGGTCTAACACATTTCAAAGCTTCAAGGCAATAAGCGAACTCGGACATGCCCTGCGCACGCTTAAAACTTCAGGTTGACAATACATCTGCTCTAAAACATGCACAGAACGTCTATATGTACATGTACATACACGTACGTTACGCACATACTGTACATGTACATCGTACATGTAATGTCAGTCAGCCTGCAGAGCACGTGTTGCCGCGGTCAAATCCTTTCCACATCATATCACAGTGACCGTTTTAGCCGATTTTCGGCTAACTTTGACAGATTTTTTGTTCGTGCATGCGCATAGTCAGGGACGTATAATAAAAGATCATAATGCCGAAAAGCCCTATGTTACGTATTTAAAGGTGCAGTTTTTCTGCAGTGGGATTTTCCACAAGTCTTTTCCTATACAACACTAATATCTTACTGAGTAGTTCTGAACTTCAGCCGAGAATTACTTTGAGAAGGAAAGAGAAATCGAATTTTTTTCGCGCTGTCATTCGATTGAACATATTCCTAAGGGTCAGAATATCAAGTAATATTTCATAAAAATGTTTCAGTTCAAAGGCAAATTACAAATTTAAAGGTGCAATATTTCTGCAGTGGGATTTTGTTTTTAGCCCGTTAATTTAGTACACGTGTTAGCCCATTGACTTTGTACACGTTTTCAAGC